CAGAAATATTTTGTCAGATCATCAAAAAGTAGAACCTCCACGGCAGACTCAAAACCGATGCATCAGTTGGATATCCAGCCACATTGCAACTATATTCAGTATTGTTGCCCAACCCCAAAGTCATAAGTAACACTGTAAGTACTCGAACCATTCTGTGCATGAACTTCGCGACTTTTCTCTTGTGTTCACGCAGCCGTACAGAATTATCTTGAGTTTACTGAAAGTAACTAGCAAACCAGATCTTGCGTAAATTTAGCGGACTTATCAAAGTGAACTGCTTCTTTAGCTACTATTTTACTGTCACAATAATTTCCATTTATTATTCTTCATTATATCCACCATTTCTCTATCTTATAACAAAATCAGTTTTATGGTCCTTACCTTTACGAATGTTTAAATTAATAAAATCTGCCATAACTATGAAACACTCACTTAATTAATATATTTGCCAGAGTACCTCCCTTATTTATATTATACAGGCATAAGTGGTTATTGGTTTATAAATACTATAGTAATAGGTGTCATTGACGTATGAAAATGACACCAATACCTAATAAACATTAGCGTGAAAATTAAGTTCTATTATATCATGGATTATGAACAGATGATTTGCCTGCTTATCAAAATCATGTGTGTCGACCAGTCAGCAACAAATTCAGCTGCCAATTTATGTTTCATTATGGACAGAAAAAATAAATGGATAAAATATTGAGCATCTCAGACACTCGGTTACATCGAAGAACTTCGAAGGTGCATACTTACATCAGTTCAGGTTGTCTTAGCACATTAGCATAGAGACGTGACTGTCAAATCAAATCCCATTATGGCAGAAATAGTAGAAGTATTAGCGGCAATCTGAAAGATTAAGGCTCGAGGAAATTATTCATGAAGAAGAATATAGTGAAATATACTTAAAAAGATAAAGCTGATGGGGAATTCAGAAGCTTATGTGTCGAGATAACACAAAATGTGGATGCACATGCGCCATCGCAAATGGTTTTCAGACAAATAAGTCAAGATCTCTAACGATAGATTATTATCATCTCGTAGAGTGGAAACCAGGCAGTCGACAACTACCAACATGACTCGATCCAGTTGCCATAGACTTTACGGATTTGTGAAGTTTTCATTTGGCCTCCCCTAGCATACTTCCAACCTACTCCCACACCACAAAACATTGATCGTCCAAGCAGTCGATGGTTGGACATTCGTAAAACATGTCTCAACAACCTCAACTGATGAAGCTTCAATACTTCATCTACTGACAAAGTGAAACAAGACTGGAGAAAGTGGACATCCCTGACGGACACCACTCGAAGTAATCAATGCCGATGACATTTCGCAATAAGCTCTCACTCGTTCAGTAGTGTTTAAGTAGAGAGCTTGCATAAAATTAACGTACTTCTCTGGTACACTTTTCAATTACAGACACTGACACAGAACCCCACGATCGACAGAGACAAACGCCGCTTTAAATTCAAGGAAGACAACTGTTGTCAGACGCCAAAATGTGCATCTTTGTTCTAGGACCTGTGGTAGTAAGACCACATGGTCTAAACAGCAAAGTTCAGGTCGAAAACAGCTAGGTTTCCTGGAGTGTGCTCTTCCTGAGCTCTAGTTGGGCATCCGAGTATCATTGAGGCCAGTATTTTAGATAATATATTGCTTAAACTGATTCGTTTGTAATTCTCAAAAGAGGACTTGAGTACTTTTTAGTAAATTTGGACAATCGCCGATTGAAAGAAGTCAGACGAGATTACACCCATTTCTCAAATTTAATCTAAGATCTCAGTCAATCTAGTTGCTAAAACTGGACTACCATCCTTAAAAATTTCAGAAGTTAGTTCATCAAGACCTGCTGCTCTACCTCGATTCAGATTTCCTATCGCTTTCTCAATTTCGTAAAAATCGGATCACTTATATCGACTTGAATTTCAGGATGACTGGAGATCGTGGGCAACCGAAGTGTTGCTGAAGTCCCGTTTAACTGATCTCTGAAGTGTTCTGCTCATCGATTCAGTCTCTTGGATTCAGAATGAATAATAAGACCATCCGTTCCCAAAAAAGTCTCTCATTCAAATTCCTAATACTGGTGTAATTGCATAGTGCTCAATGTTGCCTATCGCTGCTGATTTTTACATCGCTCTTACTTTCTCTACTCACCACTGCTCACGACCATTCCGTAGGCTTTTGATCATCCTGCGCGTAAGGCTGACTCCTCTCCTCATCTTAATCAGACCCACACGGGATGAGTTTTCGAGCATCCATCAGTTCGGTAGATACTACTGAAATCCATCGACTCTCCCCAACATCGCAGTTAACCTAACCAGCAGATATTACTGTTGTTTCCACAGCTTTTGGGATATTATTCCAAGCTCTCTCGGGATAAGCATCACTTACTGCATGACTGTCAAAGCATTCGGTGGTTAGGCATACGTAACACATGTCCCAACCACCTCAACTTATGAAGGTTCAATACTTCACCAATTGATCTGCCATTCTTACCTTGTACTGGCTTCATAATAGCGGCATTGATTACTCGGTTGTCCAGGGATACGCGATGTTTATAGGACATCTGTGGTCGAATACTAGTAACGTACGAATATCTTCTACTCTTACCGGCCATGTTTCGCATCCATACAGTACTATGTCACCGGCATATTCTAAGTCAAAAAGCGAGCCACCTGGTAGAAGGTCTACTTCTGAAAATTCAGACGAGGATAAGGTTATTTCTAGGAGCATGTCTATAAAATTAAACAAGAATGGAGAGAGTGGACATCCCTGACGGATACCACTTGAAGTAAAGAATTCCGGTGACAGTTCGCCAAAAGCTCTCACTCACTCGACCAGTGGTGTTCGAGTAGAGAGCTTATATAGGGTTAATATACTTCTTTGGTACACCTTCCAATGACAGACACTGCCACAGAACCTCATGGTCCACTGAGTCAAATGCCGCAATTAGGTCCAGGAAAACAACTATTGTCGGACGTCTAAATGTGTGTCTGTGTTGCAGGACCTGTCGTAGTGTGAAGATGTGGTCTATACAGCCACGTCTAGGTCGAAAACCAGCCTGGTTTTCTCTAGTCTGCAATTCACGAGCTCTATTTAGGCGTCTAAGTATAATGGAGGCTAACAATTTAGAAACTATATTAGTTAGATTTATTCCCCTGTGATTGTCATAAGAAGAATTTTGTCCTTTCTTATAGATTGGGACAGTCAGGGATTGAGACCAGTTGGATGAGATTGTGTCCCTTTCCCAGATTCTACCTAAGATCTCGGTCAACCTAGCTGCTAAAACTGGACCACCATCCTTAAAAATCTCAGCGGTCAGTCTATCAGGACCTGCAGCTTGCACTCGCTTCAGATTTCCTAACGCTTTCTCAACTTCGTAAAGCCTAGGAGGACTTACATCGATTTGCCATTCAGGATGACTGGAGATCGTGGGTATCCGAAGAGTGGCTCGAGTCCAGTTGAACTGGTCCCTGAAGTGTTCTGCCCATCGATCCAATCTTCTGGATTGAGAATAAATAATAGTCCCATCCTTTTCTGCTATAGTTTCGCTAACAGATGGATTTCTAATACCGGTTTCCTTCATAAGGTGGAAAAGTTGTCTAGTGTTGCTTGACGCCGCTGCCTTTTGCATCTCTCTCGCTTTCGCCAGCCACCACTGTTCACGGTGGTTGCGCAAGCTTTTTATCAGCCTGCACGGAAGCTGACTTCGTTCATCATCATGTTCAGAGTTAGGTGGGATGAGTTTTCGAGCATCATCAGTTCGGTGGATGCTACTGAGATCCACGGCTTCTTCCCAGTCTTACGGTCTACCTTACTATTAGATATCGCTGCTGTTTCCACAGTTTTTTGAATATCATGCGTAAGCCGAGCTGGTTCTCTATCTACACAAGGTGAAATCAAATTGATAATTTTACTCAGATCTGGTATGTGTGTATCAGATACGCAAAAAAACATCGATGGCACGAGATTTCAGAGTGCTCGCTAATGAAGCCTATTGTTGTATTTGACACAACGTTCGAGTATTAAAAGCTCCAACAAGTAGTTTAGAGCGGGGTTTCAGCAAACCAGGGATAAGGTTTCGTGAGCTCGAGACGTTTGCTTTAGCGGTGCGAGGTGACAAGGGAAAAACGGAAGGGTTGGTGGTGGAGATAAGAGAGTTATTAGGTGCAGAAAGGATTTGATTGTGACCAATTTGGTCTCGCGTGCTTTTACGTCTATGGGGGCGAAAGTCCATTCCCAGCTGCCCTTACCGTGGGTGTTCATTCAGGAACTTGAAAAGGAAGGTAGATAGGCGTTGGTGTTAGAGACCTGGGGGAGTCACCGTAGAGCTCAATGGACAAGTGCTTGAGGCCGGTCACGCACGGCCTTTTCATGGTAAGTTTTTAAAGTGTTTGCTCCGCCACTGTTTAAAAGGCCTTACCACCGGAGATGGAAATCCATGCAACAAGGTGACGTATGACATTTTCAAGGTCGACCTTTTTCTAACCCCTTCATTCCTTGTGAGAAGGTAGCATCTCTGCGGGTACTGGTTGTCTGAGGGAAACAACTTAATGCTGTCACACCCCTCTGCAGTCAGCAGTACGACTTCGCCCTCAGACCTTCAGTAGTTGCTTTTAGTCTCATCGTTCTCCAGTCGACCTGCCTGACATGGTAAGACCTACAGGAGCATATGTTCCAGCCAATATATCTCAGATCGGTCGTCACGACAGGCAAGCCCGACCACCACTTCAACGTAGCAGCTACGGTCGGGATTGACCAACTACATGAACTCTAAAGATAAGGGTGCAACAGATGTCACACAAATAAAAATGGTACTGTACTACAGCTCATGAGATAACATTCAGTTATTATATATTTTTAAGATTTCTACCTTATCAGACATTCACAGTGACGAAACAAAACGTTGTTGCTCTTAATAATGAAATAATCTATTCTGAACGTTAAAGCTGATCTTGAAGATAAATTAGACAGTTCATAAAATTATCGTACTCGTAAAAATCATTTTTTATTAGATTCGCCGGTGCCAGAGTAAACACATTTATCTGTCCTTAAGATTATCCTAGATTGTTTATGATAAACGTAAAGTGACTTTTAATAAATTTTTATGCAAAATCCTATTTGAATGACAATACATAATATTTACAATTTAAGAAGAGAGAATGTCAAATAAGAAGGTTGCATATAGTCTCATGACAAGAGTGAATAATACAAATTAACGACCACCATGAGCAATAATTTTATCAGTCTTTTTTACTTCTTTATGCTTGTCAATTAACTCTTGTCGACGTTGTTCATGATGACGTATAAGATCTTGATGTTGAATTTGTACATCACCTAAAGCTATTTGTTGATCTTCTAAACACAATCGTGATCTGTAATTTACCACAAAAAAAAGAAAAGAAGATTAGAACACGTACCAAACAATTTATATTTCATTCATCAAATTGCATAATCTTCAATAGATTCATGTTGAGTTAACTGAATCGAACTCGTTAGGAAATATTTCATTTATAAAAATTCCTAGTTTCTTTTATTTTCAACAAAAAAATAGGATAGGAGTAAAAAAATGCGACGAATTATTTCAACTGATTTGAAATGCATCATATCGTACTGATTGATTATGGTAATCTGATCGAATGCATTGATTTGTTATACTCTATATTGATAAGCATTAATTAATTAAACAAGCTGTAATGGTCAGTTTTGAGTAATTTACTTTAATGAAAAACAATTATACACGAACAAGCCCAAAGTGGCTGTGAATAGGGGAGACTATAAGTATTGGACTAACCACGAATTAGGAGTAGTAGGTGGCATGATAGTAGTCAATAGTCAGCCAGTTACAACGTAGAAATTCGTACGTACGTACATCCGTTCAAGTTGCAATACCAAATCATCACAGAGACTCAATTGTCAATTCAGACCCCATAGTAGTAGAGGTAGTAGAAGATTTAGCAGTCATCGGAAAGATTAGGGCTTGAGGACATTATTCAAGAAGCAGAATATAGTGAAATATACTTAAAAAGAAAAAGATAAAGGTGATGGGGAATTCAGAAGGTTGAGTCACGAGAACACAAAGAGTGGATGCACCTGAGCCATCGCAAACGGTTTTCAGCCAGACAGAGACCGACACAACGCAGAACTTCGTACAGTTCAGGTTGCCATACCACATCAACACAGCGACGTAACTTTCAGTTAAAACCCAAGAGTGAGAGCAACAGTAGAATTATTAGCAGCAATGGAGAAGATTAGGGAGCGAAGATATGATTCGAAAAGTATAATTCAGTAAGATAAATTTAGGAGGAAGATAGAGATTGGTAACTTTCGTCTCATGGACCCCAACCAGGAAGTCGACACCTACCGATATAACTCAGTCCACTTGTCAGTGACTTCATGGATTTCTGCCATGTTTTGGTCTGACAGCCTCTAACTTTTTTCCAACCTACTTCTACACTACATAACATAGCTAGACGAGGCAGTCGGTGGTTAGGCACAAGTACCACATGTCCCAACCACCTCAAACGATGAAGTTTCAATGCATCATCTATTGATTTGCCATCCTTACCTAGCACCCGTTTCCTAACAATAGCACTGCTTACTCGGTCGTCCCAAGATAAACGAGCAATGCTTCGAAGACACCTATGATCGAAGACTGGTAACCTACGAATGTCCTCTACTCGTAACGGCCATGTTTCGGATCCGTATAGTAGGCCAGAGAGAACTGCTGCGCAATACACTCGTCCGTCGGACAGCACACAAGCGACTATCTACAGAGATCCAGTCTAAGAGAGCTAGTTCCGCCCTACGACTCAATACTATACCTACACCAGCGAGACCTCGCGAAGCAACATCAGGGCTACCGGATACACGGAGAGTAAATCGGGATGCCACTATTTTGATAAGGTGAAATCCGATTAATAATTTTACTAGGATCCTGTATGCGCGTTTCCGAGACGTAGCACACATCGATTGAGCGAGATTCTGAAGTCCTAGGATATGATCCCTGTTGCCCTATTTGACAAAATGTCCGTACATTAAAAGCCCCAGCATGTAGTCTAGAGCGGAGTTTAAGGAGACCAGGAACGACGTTTCGGGAACTCGTATCGTCTGCATTAGCTGTGCACTGTGATAAATGAATGTGAGAAGAGTTAGTCGTGGAGATAAGAGAGGTACTAGGAGGTGTACGAAGGATTTGATTTTGACCAATTTGGTTTCGCGTGCTGTTACGGGTATAAGGGCGGTTGTCACTTCCCGGCTGCCCACACCGTGGAAGGTTGTTTCTTGAGGAACCTGAAAAGGAAGATAGATTAGTGTTGGTCTTAGAGACCTGGGTGCGTGACCGCAGAGTCCAAGGGACAACTGCTTGAGGCCGGTCACGCACGGCCTTTTTGTTAAAGGTTTTTTGAGGATTAGCTCCTCTCTTAAAGGCGTTAGTGGGCACCCTTACCGCCGAAGACGGAAATCCGTGAGGTAGGGTGAGGTGTGACAATTCTAGGGTCGACCTTTTCTAACCCTTCTTTCCTTGTGAGAAGGCAGCATCGCTGCAGATGCTGGTGATCCGAGGGAAACACCTTACTGCTGTCACACCCCTCTGCAGTCAGCAGTACGACTTCGCCCTCAGACCTTCAGTAGTTGCTTTTAGTCTCATCGTTCTCCAATCGACGTGACTGGCATGTTAGAACCTACAGGAGCATATGTTCCAGCCAGTATAGCTCGGTTGGGTCAAGTTATTGGCCTCAATAATACTTCGACGCTTAACGAAATCTCGTGAAGAGCAGACTAGAGAAAACCAAGCTGGTTTTCGACCTGAACGCGGCTGTATAGACCACATCTTCACACTATGACAGGTCCTGCAACACAGACACACATTTAGACGTCCGACAATAGTTGTTTTCCTGGACCTAATTGCGGCATTTGACTCAGTGGACCATGAGGTTCTGTGGCAGTGTCTGTCATTGGAAGGTGTACCAAAGAAGTATATTAACCCTATATAAGCTCTCTACTCGAACACCACTGGTCGAGTGAGTGAGAGCTTTTGGCGAACTGTCACCGGAATTCTTTACTTCAAGTGGTATCCGTCAGGGATGTCCACTCTCTCCATTCTTGTTTAATTTTATAGACATGTTCCTAGAAATAACCTTATCCTCGTCTGAATTTTCAGAAGTAGACCTTCTACCAGGTGGCTCGCTTTTTGACTTAGAATATGCCGATGACATAGTTCTATTCGGTGAAGACGCTGACAAAATGCAGTCTTCTGACTACTATAAGCAACAATGCAAACACGTTCGGGATGCGGTTCTCACCGTCGAAATGCAAAAGGTTGCTTTAAGACTGGGTTGCATCGTTACCTGAACTAGTGATAGGGAGCGAAGTAGTCGAGCGTGTAGACCGCTTGACTTATCTGGGGAGTCTCATCAGTGCCAATGGCCTGGTGACTGACGAAATCTCAGCTCAGATACATAAGGCTCGATTGGCTTTTGCCAACCTGCGTCACTAATGGCGTAGGCGAGATATCTGTTTGCTGACTAAAGGACGAGTGTACTGCGCAGCACTTAGATCCGTCTAACTTTATGGCTGTGAAACATGGCCAATGAGAGTAGATATTCGTATGTTGCTGGTTTTCGATCATATGTGTCTTAGAATCATTGCTAGTATATCCTGGGACACCTGAGTGAGCAACGCTGTTATTAGGAAACGGGTGCTAGGTAAGGATGGCAGATCAATAGATGAAGTATTGAAACCTCATCAGTTGAGGTGGTTGGGACATGTGCTCGTATGCCTAAAAACCGACTGCCTCGACGAGCTTCGTTTTGTAGTGTAGCAGTAGGTTGGAAGAAAGCTAGGGGCGGCCAAACCAAAACATGGCAGAAATCCATGAAGTCATTGACGAATGGACTTAGCCATGTCGGTAGTTGTCGACTACCTGGTTGAGGTCAGCGAGATGATAATAATCGATGGTTAGACCCCGAATGACATGGCTGAGAACCGTTTGCAATGGCGCCGGTGCATTTATTCTTTGTGTTCTCTCAAATTCTAATCTTCTAGATTCTTCAACCCCTCTGGTTTTGACTTTCTAAACTTTTCTCACTGAATCATACTTCTTGAATAATATCTTCTAATCCTAACCTCTCGGATTACTTCTAATACCTTTACTACCTCTTCTACTATTGTATTTGAATTGACAATTATATCTCTGTGCTGATTTGGTATGCCAACATGAACTGATGTACTTACGTACGAAGTTCTACGTTGCATCTGACTGACTGACTGATTCGGTGATATAAATTTAGAAAGAAAAAGATAGAGATGATGAGGAATTCAGAAGGTCAGACTTTGAGAGAACACAGTGTAAGTCCTACATTATCGATTATTGATTAAAGTATGAAGACTATAGAAACGTAATTCTATACTTGCTGTTCTATGTGATGAGAATGATGATGATAGGATTTACTAACAAGGAAATTATACAAATAAAAACTTAATGATAGCGACCGAAATTTGTAAAAATTTACCTATACATTTTCATCAAATCATATCGATCGACGAGATTTATTTTCTCTTTAATTTCAGATAACTCTTTTGGAGTCAAATAATCATACATTGAGTCATGTATTCCACGGTAGCCATGTAAATACCATTTGAAGATCCATGGTGGTGGAAGTAGTTTTACCTATGGTAAATAACATATTGATTACACATATTCTAATACATATTTAAATAGGCATAATATGCACAGCTTAAAATTAAATTATGATATTATTTATAAATTATGGTTTTTATGACTATCAATAGACCGAAATCTGGTTAACAAGCAAACAATATTACATTTTCCGTATGAAATTTTGTTAAGAGGTGCATAAAAAGCAAATTTAAAAATAGTATAGTAGAACTACGTTGTAGCTGTTATTAACGATCCGATGCTTTAAGTATACGTTAGTGAAGCAGAAATTGTAACTGTGATTGAGATGAATGTATATAAGTTACAACCAAAAAGAGATAGGTAACAAAAATACAGTCGGGCAGTTGTATACAACGTAGAAACTGGCACATACGTGGATTGGTTTCAGTTGTTATACCACATCAGTACAGCGAGATGAAATCATCAAGATAAACACCAAAGTATTAGAATCAGTAAAAGAATCAACAGTAATACAAAAATAGTGTAAGATTTTGAGACTCAGGAACTTACACAAGACAAAGAGTGAGTGCATTTATACATTTGCGTCCTGTCCTGAGTTATATCACTTTATGTATATAACCATCCATTACGATAATCTTGCTGACCACAACTAGATTGTTTAAACCTACCAATATGGCTCAGACTAACAGTCAACGAATTCAAAAATTGATAAAATACCTAGGTTTGTCCACCCTTAGCTCTCTTTCAACCTACTCCTATACCAGTCAACATTGCCTGTTGAGACAGACAGTGAATGGGCATATGTAAAATATATCCCAACCAATTCAGTTGAAAATTTATAACCTTATCGATCAATTCTACATAGTACCCTATCTCTAATCCAAGTATTAGCACCTCAGTAATCCCAAAACACACGAGCAATGCTTCACACATACTTATAACCGGATACTAGTGACCAACAAATATTCTCTATTCTCAATGGCTGTGTTTTACACCCATAAAATAGAACGAAGCGAACTGCTGTGCAGTATACTTGTTCTTTGGACGGGCGATAGACAAGCGGCTGACACTAGAAGTGATGTAATTTGGATAAAGTCGACAAAACTTTATAATTCGTGCCGAAACTTTGTTAGATACCAACTCAAAGTAATGATAAGAAAACAAAGACACGACTAAATGATCACACTTGTTTATTTCATTTTCAATGTCACACTTATCGCACAATAACAGTGTCATTAATTTAATAAAATGTAAACAGATAGGGTGAAATTTAAACTTGTAGCTCGGAAATCTGTAGGTCAATGATTATAAAATTATAAGACCATACTATGGTAAAGTTTCTACACTGCTAATTATGAATGGAGACTTGGACAAATGCACGTTTGTCCCAAGGTCTAGATTGGTGTCTGTCTGGTTGCTTATACCGAAACCAACTAAACTCCATTAATCAAAGTGGAACAAGTAAATATTTTACAAACAAATTGAGTCATCATGCACAAACTAGTAATTATGTTCTGCTTAACTGCGCCTGTAAATTACAAAAATTGCTACCAATCTCAAGCTCACGAAAAGAAACTTTAGGCATAGGGTAAATAACAGAAGATTCGATTCCAACTAAACCCACCAAACTCACACAACATCGAAGCACCACCTAAAGACACCTTAACTGATATTAAGCCACTAACAATCAAAGACACTAGAATGATCATCCAGCAGATCAAGAGTGGCAAAACAACAGGACTAGAAACAGTTCCAACGAAGGCAGTACAAGCAGACATAGCAGTAGCTATAAAGATGCTCTACACTGTGTTCAGAGAGATTTGGGAGGAAGAACAAGTACCAACAAACTGGAAAGAAGGACACCTCATCAAAATACCAAAGAAAGGAGATCTTAGTAATTGTGAGTAGTATAGGGGCATCACTCTTCTCTCGATGTCAGGAAAAGTCTTCAACAGAGTTTTGTTGAACCGAATGAAGGATTCAGTAGGTGCCTAACTCTGAGATCAGCAGGTTGGATTCCGTAGTGATCGATGATGTTCCGATCACATCGCGAAATTACGAATCATTATGGAGCTATCAGTTGTATGGGACTCACCACTATAGATTAACTACCTTGACTACAAAAAAGCATTTGCAAGTGTGGACAGGATGACACTGTGGAGGCTTCTTCGAAACTACGGTGTAACTGAGATGATAGTCAATATCATAAGGAATTCTAATGATGGACTACACAGCCAGGTCATGCATGGATGACAGCTCACAGATTCATTCCAAGTGAAGACCGGTGTCAGACAACGTTGCTTACCCTCACTCATTCTTTTTCTTCTGGATCGAGCAAACCTTAACATCGGGGAAGCATGGAATACAGTGGGCAGCTTGGATGAAGCTGGACGATATAGACTTCGGAGATCACCTTCTATCCCACATGCAACAACAAGTTTAGGAGAGGACGGCCAACATAGCAGCAGCCTCTGCAGCAGTAGGCCTCAACATACACAAGAGAAACAGCAAGATCCTCCGATACAACACAACATGCACCAACCTCATCACACTTGAAGAAGTTTTGGAAGATTTGGGAACCTTTACGTACCTGGACAGTAAATTTGATAAACAAGGTGGATTTGATGCAGATGTGATAACACTGATTGGCAAAGCAATCGAAGAACATCTGGAACTCGAAACAAATGTCAACCAACACCAATGTCAGATATTTCAACACAAACGTCAAGATGGTTCCATTACATGAAACGGAAACTTGGAGAACTACACAAGCCATCATCCACAAGATAAAGGTGTTTGTTGAAAGTTGTCTAAGCAAGATACCGCAGATCGATTGGCCAGACTCCATCAGCAACAACCGACTGTGGGAGAGAACAAACCAGATTTCAGTTGGGCAATAAAGTAGGCAAATACACTAGAGGTGGATAGGACACACTGCAGGAAGCAACCAACTGCGTCACGGAGCGAGCCCTAACTTGGAACCCTAAAGATCAAAGAAAAAGAAGTAGACCAAGGAACTGGAAAGAGAGACCTAGGACAAAGTTGGCTGGAGAATGCTGGTCAGCGGCCTATGCTTCACGAGGTAGCAGGTGCAATTAAGTATAAAATGTTCTTCTTGAAAAGTATAGCATAATTATAAAGCCGATCGCTTCAATTTAACGGTAATATTTTAAATGACTTTGAAAACAACTAACTAAATCTATGGATATACGACATAGTTCATACAAAAAATACAGCAAACGAATATGTAACGTGAAACGTTTTTAAATTTTCTATGTGAATGTGGACAGCGAAAACCAAGCATTGATTTGTTCAAAACACTGAAAATAAGTGAATAAGCGATACCTATCCCAGATTTTTTTTATCAGTAATTGGTTTAAAATATCAACAGGAATAACGTGAGAATTGTTAAACTCACTTGGAATGAAGTCACTTATGGATATTATACTTGTACATTTTATTAATGACTCTCACTTGTGAACTTTGTAGAAAAGCGTATTATCTTAAGGAGAAAATAATTATTTATTATGCTGGTTAATTCTATTGTCCTGTAATACCGATTCATTTAAAGAAGAATTTGCATCTATGATGTTAGGTCGATTAATAATCATCAATTGAACATTTCACACATACTCTGATAATTGATCAGACTGAAGTAAATAAATTCCTTAGTATTCCTCTAATATAACATACCAGTAGAACCAAAATAATTGATATTGATATCCTGTTTAGAAATAGCCAATATAAATATATTCTGAAACTGTGGGAATAATGGATAATTTTTAGCTCTGCTACACATCGAGTTTAGTTTATATAACAATAGCAAATAAAACGGAGAAGATTGCTTTGATTAGGTTAATTAAATGAATGTCCATCTAGATTATTGGTAAAACTAAATGGTTCTTACATTTTGTGATGATATATAACAAACATATATCACTAAGTCACATTTACCAGTGGATAAAGTTTGCAAGTACACTATCGAATATGTTTTCTTCACATGCATAACAATTGCAACAAGGAAATAATGTCAGTAACAAAATATTACGATGAATAGATAAAAATTTCAAAAAAAAAAACATCTATTATAGAAACATACCTTTTTATCATTAATTGGGACAGGATCAGAAGGATTATATGGAATACGCGACATATCAAATGGAAATCGACTTTCATCCAATGGAGCATCACGTAAATACAAAAGATTACGATCTAAACGTTTCTCTAATAATAATACTTCAATCGACTGAATAGTTGGGTTATATAATTCATATTGAATTTCAACAGCTAAAAAAGTAGATAATAGGAAAGTGGTATGATTGTGAGTTTGAATTATTGACAGAAACTTTTGTTATTGTATTGTACCATTAACACCACATCTGTCTTCCTACTAGCAAGTTGTTCTTTTCTCTGTCATGTGTAGTTACATAATCTATTTCATTGTTATTTTGGCTCATATAAATATTCATGCATATTAGAGTAAAGCTAGATGATGATATAATTGAAAACAATATTGTTCGCTTATATATGTGTTGTTCTAGTTACAAAAGAGTATAATTATTTAATGTGTAGGAATGGGATGCACTGAAATCTTGAGTTGTCGAACTTATCAAATGTGATTAGTTTAGTAATATCAAGATAAAACACAAAATAAATTGTCCAGAAAGCTCATACACTATCGTCAAAAGATTTTGAGGTTAACTACAATGTTTATAAGTAGTGATTATGATAGTGTAAGAACAATGTTGACTAACTTATCTATTCGACATAGCAGTTATATAAATTAAACTCTGTAACCACTCGATCAGAATGTTTGTACCGTTATTCTTCGTTGTGAAAATATTGAGTAACGTTTTGATTAGTGGAACAGAGGAAAATGTAAAACACGTAAGAGGTGAGTTATCTAAAAAAAATTAAGACATATTTTTTCAACTTGAATGAGGCATTATAGTTGTTTACATACTCCTTGTTAAAACTGGAAAATTTAAATAAAAGATTCCTTTTAAGGATGAACGAACCTGTTTTCTCAATCACATTACGAAGAGTAAATCTTGTCCATAAACCTTCATTAAAGCGTTCTATGCAAATACCCATGAATCGATGAGACTGATTTGGAGCAAACTTATCAGCAGTCTTCACAGCAACAACTGACCCTAAATGATATTAGTTACCAAAAATAGTGAAACTGATTATTAAACAATGGAAATTGTGCACAATGCTGAGAAAAGATAGCGAAAGAGTTTAACGCGTAAGTCTGACCTTGCCATAGGAATACATGTAGTTTATTTTTACAAATGTCAAGGATCGTGGAAACATTTATAGGAATTTAGTATTATGCAATCAATTTTATAACAATTTGACACAGACAGATACAACGTTCTAACAATCAGTCCCTTTGATAAATGTGAATAATGAGATGAGAAGACAAAGATTATCAGGATTGTGTGATATGTTTGCGAAAGACATTCCAAATAATGTGATTACGACGTTATATATGAGAAAGGAAGTAGATGTAAAGTGGTGAGTCCCATACAACTGATAGCTCCATAATGATTCGTAATTTCGCGATGTGATCGGAACATCATCGATCACTACGGAATCCAACCTGCTGATCTCAGAGTTAGGCACCTACTGAATCCTTCATTCGGTTCAACAAAACTCTGTTGAAGACTTTTCCTGACATCGAGAGAAGAGTGATGCCCCTATACTACTCACAATTACTAAGATCTCCTTTCTTTGGTATTTTGATGAGGTGTCCTTCTTTCCAGTTTGTTGGTACTTGTTCTTCCTCCCAAATCTCTCTGAACACAGTGTAGAGCATCTTTATAGCTACTGCTATGTCTGCTTGTACTGCCTTCGTTGGAACTGTTTCTAGTCCTGTTGTTTTGCCACTCTTGATCTGTTGGATGGTCATTCTAGTGTCTTTGATTGTTAGTGGGTTAATATCAATTAAGAGGTCTGCAGATGCTAGTCTATTTAGGGATTCTTCAAAGTGCTCAACTTACCTGTTTTGCTGTTCTTGAATTTTAAGTCAGAACTAGCAATCAGTGACCAGTTTGAAAACCTTTACGGCCAACTAAGTTCTTCAGCCCCTTCCTCCTTAGAGAATCGAAGATGGTGTTATGCTGAACTAGTATATAAGGCACCAGTCTAATGTTCCTGGTAAGCATATTAACTTCTTAGCATTTCACGTCATTCGAATTGAGAAAGAACACGAATATTATTCTAGTTAAACGTAATGAAGGATCAGGTATGGTTGTCATGAATAAGTTCGATTACAAAAGTAAAACGGTATCAATTTTCAGTGAGGAAAGCAAAATTATGGCTGATATTCACTTTGATGGACTACGTCTTATATGCGAACGAGAGATGAATGAACAGCTACCTTTCCTAGCCATTCCAATTAGTAAAAATGACGATGGCTCTATTAAATGTTCTGTATATAGAAAATTCGACACGGATAGGAGAATATCTTGATGCTTATAGTCACTGTCCAGTCCAATACAAACGTGAATTAATAAAGGGCTTATTCAATCGTATTTGCACTAACGATACTACTGAAGGAAACATAAGGCTCTTAACTGAAGCACTGAGTAAAAATGGCAATCCATCGAAATTCACGAACCGTAGGAAACGCAGCAATATGATACCCATTGTTTTCACCATTAAAAAAAAGAATCTACCATTCAGAAGTGACTTAAGTAGTCTTGTGCTGAGAAGACTCAAATTAGCTACAAATAAGACATTCAACACAGACCAACTTATCATTACCGAAAAGTTAAGGCCTATATGTCACCAAAAACCCAAACACTATGTAAACGATTGTACCACATCCAAGCGCATCTACCAGTTTACATGTGCGGACAGGTACATGGAGAGAAGAAAACGTGATCTACAAGAGTGGCTGAATACACACCTAAATGACTACAAAAACGAATTGACTTCAACGGTCAAGTAAGGTCACAGGATAGACAAATATCAGTCTCCATTGCGAAACATTTGGTTGAGACCGTTCGTAAAGTTAATAACAGTTCAGTCTTTGTAGTGTTATACAAGAGTATTAGAGGGCATATACTTAGGTTCAAAGAAGCCTTGATTACAGGAAAGTCTAAACCACATTTACATGAACAAAAATAGTCTATTCTTACCCTAAACCTAGCTTGGTCATTTTGATTGATCATACAGCTTCGTTTTTACATTGCGGACTTCATTATTATCATCTTTGTTTACTTAACCTTTTAATTTGTACTATTCACACATAACGCCTTAACAAAAATATGTGACCAGATTGTTTGAAATATGTTGCAAAAATATATCACATAATTCTGATAATCTTCGCTTCTAATCTCATTATCCAAATCAATTTTGAGTTTCATTTCACTGCTCACTAAATTTATCCACACTGAACACTTGTATAGACATTTCCGCCTATTCATTTGTTCAAATTCTAATATACTCAGTAGCTGACCAAATCTCAAAGACAGTTGTAGATAAAACTACAAGCAATAAATACAGATCTAAACAATCCTTTTCGACAGATCTAATACACCTTATAGTTAAGATCGCATTTTTACATCTGTACTAACTGCGACTGGATAAGAAAAAGACCTTGTTTTTGATTCACTGTTGTCACTGCCAACAATATTCATGCAATTCATCAAGTTCTGTCACTCAAAAGTTCAAGCAAACGTACCTACATAAAATTCCGGTATATCTAAATTTCGACGACGTAGCATCATTTCGTGACGTTCAAGACGTTCACGCAGATGATCGCGATATCTTGGATCAATATAATGTGGCACCAGTTCTTGATACAAGCGTCTAAACAAACGTACATGCGAAAATAAAACTTTTGTGACTAAACGTAATATAAAATATAAAACAGAACAGTAGATGTGAGAGTGTGCCAATCTTTAAGACTACTTACTAATTAGTTTAAAAAACAAAGAAAACCACGTTTAGTCAGTCAGTCAGTTACAAATTAGAACTTCGTACGTATGTACATAAGTTCATGTTGCCATACCACATTAGCACAGAGACGCAAATGTCAAACCAAATCCCATAGTGATAAAGATAGTAGAGGTATTAATGAGTACGTAAGTTCAGGACTGTCGCTCGTCTTGGGGCACATGTTTAGATTCAGATCATGCCATAGTGCGAGCGCGTATCTATTTGAGGCTTACTGGACGTAGGAAAGACACCGTAAGGAAACCTCTGAATGATAATAAATAATAATAATAATATATTTCAGGAACAACTAGAAAAACAGTTAGGCGACCATGTAAGCGATTTCCATCCGGAAGCAGGATGGAATGATATCAAAAAAGCTTTGGAAACAGCAGTGATATCTGCTAGTAAGGTAAACCATATGGCTAGGGAGAAGCCGTGGATCTCAGTAGCATCTACCGAACTGATGGATGCTCGAAAACTCATCCCACATGGCTCTGACGGCGATGAGGAGCGGAGTCAGCTTGGAAGTAGGCTGATAAAAAGCCTACGCAATGATCAAGAATAGTGGTGGGTGGCGAAAGCGAGAGAGATGGAAAAGGCAGTAGGCAACTATTCAAATTCATCAAGGAAACTGGTACTAGGAACCTAAACGTGAGTGAGACTATTTCGGAAAAGGATGGTCATATTAGCCATTCTCAATCCAGGAGATTGGATCGATGGGCAGAACACTTCAGGGACCAGTTCAACTGGACTCGAGCCACTCTTCGGATACCCACGATCTCCAGTCATCCTGAATGGCAAATCGATGTAAGTCCTCCTAGGCTTTACGAAGTTGAGAAAGCCATGGGAAATCTGAAGCGAGTGCGAGCTGAAGGTCCTGATAGACTGACCGCTGAGATTTTTAAGTATGGTGGTCCAGTTTTAGAAGCTAGGTTGACCGAGATCTTAGGTAGAATCTGGGAACTGGACGCAATCTTATCTGACTGGTCTCAATCCCTGACTGTCCCAGTTCATAAGAAAGGACAAAAGTCTTCTTGTGACATTCACAGGGGAATAAATCTAACTAATATAGTTTCTAAATTGTTAGCCTTCATTATACTTAAAAGCCTTACTAATGCTCGTGAAGAGCAGACTAGAGAAAAACAGGCTGGTTTTCGACCTAGACGCGGCTGTATAGACCACATCTTCACACTACGACAGGTCCTGGAACACAGACACACATTTAGGCGTCCTACAATAGTTGTCTTCCTGAACCTTACTGAGTCAAGTCGGTAGTTGCCGACTACCTGGTTGGGGTCCGCGAGATGATAATAATCGATGGTTAGAGACCCTGAATGACATCGCTCAAAACCGTTTACGATGGCTCAGATGCATTCATTCTTTGTGTTCCTCAGATCCTAATTTTCTGGATTCTTCAACACTTCTACTTTTGTCTTTCTAAACTTATTTCACTGAATCATACTTCCTGAATATCTTCTAATCCTAACCTCTCCGACTAATGCTAATACCTTTACTACGTCTGCCACTAGTATTGGATTTGAATTGACAATTACATCTCTGTGCTAATGTGGCATGGCAACATGAACTGATGTACGTACGTACGAAATTCTACGTTGCATCTGCCTGACTGACGTAAGTTCAGGTTGTCATACCCCATCAGCACAGAAACGCGTTTGTCAACTCAAATCCCATAGTATTAGAGGTAGTAGAAGTATTAGCAGTAATCGGAAAGATAAGGGTTCGAAGATATTATTCAAGAAGTATAATAACTGCTCAGCAGTCCTTAATCTCTGATATTCAGTTGGGGAAATCCGTAATTGGACCACGTAATTAATTCGGAATTAACTTCATGATGATGAACAGATAAAAGTAGCCAAAAGGTTCATGTATCGAGGTGGTTATGTAAGGGTTGGTGGTTCATGTACATGGAAGGACAGAACAGCTTACGTCAATCCGATACATCCTTGGTGCCTTAGTGAAGTTAGTCTAGCTATAAAGGGTCAAATCTACATCGCGTCGATGAGAGCAGTTAGCGTTACCATCTTGAAGCACTGACTACGAATTTCGCCTCAGCGAATCCAATACTCTTCATTATTTGCAAACACTGGGACTGATTGGAATTAGTGGAGAGGTCAGTATGTGTTGTGGGATAACAGAAAGCTGTATAGGACTGGGTTCTGTTGATTCTTCACGAATCTCTGTTTAAGATCCTAGAGATGGTGCAACTCATTGGCTTGAGACATTGTCCGACATCGATCATAATAGAAGCTAGTAGAGGTCTTGTAATTCTCTTGTATATTTTTCATATAGGTGTGGCTACGTTCTTTGGCCGAAAAATCCTTTTTAGACATACTTTTTTTAACTGAACTTGTTCGCCATTATCATTGTTTTATGCTAATTTCTATCCAGTTTTCCATCACATGAACATTCCTTTGCTTATCTCCCTACCTGTTTTATGTGAAGCATACGTAGCTTGATGTCTCCATGTACAAATGTCTGTTTTTGAATGCGATATTATCAATTAGACATTATAAATAGATTAAAGTAATGTGAAGACAACTAGATTTGGAAGTCACTTAGATAGTCTGAGGCGTATATCGATAATTGGCAGATAGTTTTTTCAAATGGATGGATATCTGAATGTCAACAAAGTTTAATTTAATTCTTTCAGTATTGAACTACATACAACTTCACAAACACCATGACCAACGAAAATGATATCCGAACGGACATGCACATTTCATATTATTATCAGAAAAGATAACAGGACGGAAACAAATCATGTGACATACTTTGTCTCCGCTTTTGGTTCTTGTGGCTGAACTTCCCAAGACCTTTGTGTTTTCAAAGCAGGATACGCAACAAAGTCCGAATCCCTGTATTTATTTAGAGCTTCAATATTTATCTTTTCCAAATACTGCTTTTTGTATTCAGGTGGTAGTCTGCGCCTGTTAAATCTACAGGGAACTAAAGTAAGGTTGTAAAGAAAGTATTTCGAAAACAATCTTACCAAGGAATTGAATGCCAGGCACTCTTTTGACCACCGTTATAGCAAACATATTAGTCCTGATCTTCGGGATTAAACCTAAGGAGAAGAGAGCGAAACTCAATAAATACACAGTACTTCAGAGATCTAGATTATGATAAATGACCACTATTAAACATAAGGTAAACCGACAAACCATATACTGGTTTGTATCAGTAACTTGAAAACGGACGTTTTTTCAACTGCAGAGCCATTGAAATAGTTAAGTATATTCTAATATCTCCAGAAGTGACGTCAGATGCTGTGTTCGTAGGCGGTTGTATTTTCCCTTCAGTCAATGTCAACTCAGTCCAGGAAGCGTGCGTTAGACTAAGTTGACGCACTATACTAACACAACTAGATAAAATTAACAACATGAATAGCAAGAGCGTTCGGGGTAGTCTAGTAGATGTTTTCCACAGGTGTATTTTTTAGGGCACCCTACTTCAGCGTTGGATAGTTATCGGGATTATGAATTTGAAAAATTACACCAGTCGAAATGATCTATATTTCTACACAAAGAGACTTCCTCAGTTTTTCGCAAGTTGAAACAATCATATACGATTACATTAAGCTCCGATGAAATGGTTAGTATTGACAATCTAATAACTAAATAAAATTTGGGCAGAGTCCTCAAAAGTAATTTTACTTGGATAATGGAAAACACACAAATAATCAAAATAATTTCTTAACCTCTTTGAGAATGTAAAGTCCAAAGCAAATTGATTTGTGCCTTCTGTTAACAACCTAACAATCCTTGCATGCGAACATCACATGTAGGTACTCGTCGAAGTAACTTTCCTTTTGAAAAGTGTCTACATGTATCCAATATCCAATATCTTTTTCACGAGCTAGTATAAACCAATTGATTTCTTCACCACGATTCTTGTTCTTTCGGTACAGTTCCAGGAGTTTGGTAATGTCCAATGAATGGGTTTCTATCCATTGGACTGTCGAATTCTAGTCAGTTGGCAGTTGTTTGTGAGTTTGTATGTCCCGTGATTTGAATGAAAACGTTTGTTACAGGCCAGTAGGGTTTTTGGATACCAGCAGCTATCACACTACCAGACCGGAGATCAGTTAGTTGCAATATGGAGAATAATAGGGAGAATATTCTAAGAGGATTTCAGAACTAAGTAATATATAGATAATTTCGTTTACCAATTGGTAGTGAAGATTGCGAGAGAGAACGGAAGTGTAATCAAGGGAGAGGAAATAGAGATAACAGGCGAGAAAGATTAAGTTAGTAGTCTGAGAAGATGGAAATAATAACGACTGGCGAGTCTCAAGGCATGCATCAGGCACAGCTTGTCCACGAGGGAGATGATAATTCGTATGTGAGTAGGTGTTCATCAAGTCTCTTCTTGAAGCTCTCCACTGAGAAAGCTGTGGTCACCTCGGCTAGGAGAGGACTCCGATTTGCAACGACTCTTAATGAGAAGTGTTGTGCACGAACCTGAGTGTTCCCCCTTTGATGTGCAATTTTTAGAGGATTGCCTCGATTGGAGTGTTGGTGATGCATCGGTAAGATGCTGACGTTGGGATTGTTTGGCGTGCCTAATATGTTGTACGCCATAATCAGATAACCTCTGATTCTCCCGTAACTCGAGGGGAATAATCCCAAGTGTTGGAGTCTATCTTTATGAGGTTTGTTCTTGAACCCTATCACACGTTTCGTTGCTCTTCTCTGCCCTAAATCCAAGAGATTTATGTCCCTTTTAAGCAGAAGGAGTGCGATGACATTGTGAACCTCCAGGTTTGGGCGCACCTATGTCTTAAATAACATCAAAAGTAATTGTGTCGTGATAAAATCAAGTTGTCTTTGCATAAAGTGAAGAGTCACATTTGCCTTGGCTGCATCCCACTTATTGTTCTGGATTGTGTAGAGGCTTTCTGTGGTTATAAAACCGAGATCGTGCTATGAGGTGACATTAGGGAGACGACTTCCGAAATCGTTTTTGATTGGCCAGATAGTGCTGTCTTCAGTAATATTTTTTGCAACTTATTTCGTAGTGAAGGTCCATTTTCTGCTTGAAATCCAGGCATTTATCAATCGAGGAAAACGGAATCTTACTGTGATTATATATGACCATGGTTTTCGAGTCTGAATGTTGTCCTATCTGTCTTTCCAAAGTGGTGGTACTACCTACATCTAGTGGCATAAAGCTATGTTTGTTTCCTTCCAAAACATTTAAAAATCCTTCACTGTTGGTACTTAGGTCACTAATGCAGCTACTGTCAACTTTCTTATTAGTAAGTTTCAGACAGTCGGTGTCATCCTGGGTTTCTTAAAAAGTAAAACATTTGCTACTTGTAATCGTACAGTTCTTTTGCATCTAATCACTTTGAAATAATAGTGAGACAACTCTCCAAGGTTGATTGACTTTATCTATTCATTTCTTGTTTGTTTATAGTAGACATTCGGACCGTCAAGGCGTATATTGTTTAAAACGATTTGTTGACGGCCGCATTGCGACTAAGATCAAACAAATGTGGCACGTGTTGCGTTGAAACAAAAATTCTAAGAATGTATAATAGATTGAATAACAGTCACAAGCGTTGCGAGAAGTTAATAGTAATTGTGAACACAACTGAGGCCACTTGTTTATGTAACTACTTAGGCTTATCACAGAACTATATGAATGATACAACATTACAAACATAGAAATCAGTAAAGATACACTGTTTGCTGTTTACAAACGAATAGTATAACTGAGTATAAAAGAAGCTAAGTAACTGTCGATAAAATAAGGATGAAAAATAGTATGGAGACCTAACAATAGACTCAATATTCCTGAAATTAGGATGGATCATGAATCAAATGGGTAAACGCCTATTAGTTGGATAGAGGAAGAGAAAATCGTTATCACTAACATGGTTTGGATGTAACGATAAGGAATAACGACACTCCATGCCCTAGCTAGTAATATCCAGAAACTTTCAATTCTTATTCTAATAAGCACGTAGGGAGCAGTCCAAAATTTATGGAACAAACAACATGCAATCGTTTTGCACGGATGAATCACTGTAGCATTTACACATAGCATCAACCGCACCTTAAATGAAGGCTGACATATTTGTCCCCTCCTATTTATTTTTTGCACGGCTTGATTGAATGTATTTCAGACTTTCTTCGAAAGTTCGATTTAGTATTCACTAAAAAAGCTCATTAGTATTAGAATCAGAGAAGTAAAATGGAACGGACGCTTTCGGATCCTAGTAACGATTCCAGTTGTTGCGACTTTCATGTATACGAAGAGAAGATCTGTCGGTCGATGTTTGGTTCGATTTATCAGAAATGCTGGCTTGTCCTCCTGCCTAACAGGTTGACGACAGGTTACTGTCAGTCCTTGTTAGGGTTTTTGAAGTGGTTTCTGAATTTGGAAGAACAGTTATAGAAGTCTAGATACGCGCCTTCCCCGGATATCCTGACAAAAAAGCTATTCATCTGGGCAACAAACGGTTCTATTAGTAGAAACAATTACCTAAACAATATTACACTGTTCTGCTTCAAATTTAACACAATGTGTTTCCAATTCTGGAAGAATGCTTCCATAAGGGTCCAAAATTGCACCCTAACAGTCCATATTCAAGTATCACCCACCAGAGTGTCGAATCCGATATGGCTGACGCCATAATTAAGTACCAGTGTAAACAACATAATACAGTTCAGTAGAAAACATAGAAACTCCAGTAACGGGATTTTCCCAATACAAAGCCTTCAAATTATTCTGCAGTCCTGTGATGTCATTTTCAATTGTTTAAATCTTTAAGGGGCTAAGGGCCTCAAGATAATAAATGCTGATTTTAATTTGAAGCAGATTAAGCAGTCTACTCTCTCACATAATTATTAAACTTAGTAACGTAATAATAGACTTCGGTGAGGTGGGGTTGAGTCTCAGTTGTTTAGGCAGAATGTAGACGTGAAGCAAAATCAGCTTTTAAGGCATGGTTACATAATTAGGCACACGGATACCGGAAAAACTGCAAGACAGTTTCTTGAATTTAAGTCAACACTTTCATTCTCTGTCGATTCTGAAGTATGTAAGATTTTCTCCTTATATTTCTTGCCATCATTTTATGGAATTTCTCTCTTTCACGGTATTCGCAGTTTTTACACTTTACACTATGTATCAGTAATTATTTGATGACTTAAAAGAAAATTAAAACAAATTTTTTGCTAGTGCTAAAATATTTCAGCATAATGAGTGCATATTTCCCTATGAATTCCAAAGAATGAAGCAGAAATTTACCATATTCGACATCTTTAATACTAACGCTTCGGATTTCAAATCTCGCCATGTGGCCCACTTATACATATCCAATTGCATTATTATCCAACTGTCCAAGGTTCGGATTTTCATCGTGACGTTCATGTGGTAATCACGAGCAAGTACATTCTATAAACTAACTAGTAACACCCAGAAATGTTAAATTCGTTCTCTCTTAGTCACTAATGAAGCAGTAGTGAATTCAAATTATTATGTTTCATGGCGTGAATAAGAAACTACAACAATGAATTTACATACTATTGATATATAAAAGGGAAACTTTTGACAGAAAAGGTCTTCAAGTCGTACTTGATTGCGAAGAGCATAAATAATGGTATGACTTTTTCCAGGACTACCTTTAACTACCAGTTCAAACAATGACTTCTAAATAAAAGATTGATTATTCAATTGATTGTTTGTTCAGCGGAGTTAATACATACGAACTACAGAAATGCAGGTTAAATAGCTATTTCTTCCAATCAAATGAAAGAAGCCACATATATTAACACTTTCTCGGAATAATAGAGAGTATTTAATATGGGTAACCAAGTTCATGAAGACCCTAAAAGTATCACTATTATAGCTGGCGAACAATTTTGTGTCTCATTAACAAAACGAATCAAAGCCGACCCTAATACCATCCTATAAAATTACCAGTGTAAACTTTAGCATCCAGATTACTTCTACGGAGATTAGCCAACTGAAACACTCTTACACTGAGGGAACAGATGGTATCATAGCCAGCATGCTGAAAAATAGAACCAGTGATCTACGTGTTATACTTCTTATACTTTTCACCATATCACTTTCCGCATTATGTTAACCTAATACCTGGAAGACTACACATATCCCCACAATCTGGGCCTATTGTGAACGCTGAAAATTACCAGCCTACAAACATAACCTCAGTAGTGTCCAGAATGATTAAGAAAGTAGTAAAATCTGCGGTAATGCAACACATACTAGATCAAAATCTCAAATCGACCTCCCATCATGGGTTCCTGGGGTCCATGCCACAAGACACATGCCTACAAGACTATCTGAATGATATAATCCAAATACAAAACAAAGGGCTGCTAGCACCAGTCCTGTCCTTCGACCTTGAGAAGGCTTCTTACAAGGTCTTACACAAAAGGTTTCTTCTCGAACTAAAGACATTCGGAATCAGAAACCCACTAAGTTCGTGGTCGAATGCGAACTACATCATTCATTTTATACTGCATAATGGAGTGCTGTGTTAAAAACAAACCTTCATCTGCGAGCTACTTGGTGCATGGTTTGCCATCAATGTGAACATAACTTATTCAAATGTTGAACTTAACTTCAGCAAAGATAATCCCGACGCCAAAAACTTCTATTTTAGCACAATACACGCCACCCCTAAAACCCTTAAATTTTGGTGCAATTGACATCTCCAGACATTCTAACACTATTATTCAAAATATTTATGATTTCCTCAAAGACTGGTTTACACCCTTTATCGTGAAAGGCACTATTGATCTCAGATATAAAATAGGCTCAAAACACGTATTCCCAAACTACAGACTAACTATTATTATCTTATTATAGATCTCTAGTGGTATACGTTTACGAAGAGCCGTTAGCCGTTTTTACGCACTCCGGCCTCGATACTATTTCGATATCATGAGGCTAGCACTAAATAAACTTCTTTCTCTAGAATCGGCATTTTATTTGATTCTTAGAGTAACGGGATTAACATTTGTTATCCCGTGAAGTAGTATATTATCCGATTCACTATACATCTGATGTTGAAGAAAGTAGTAAAATATTGTTCATCCCGTCTAATTTGGATTGGTCTTATCGACTCCTCTCAACACAGATTCAGTAAACTAGGACTTGAACTAACTGTCAAATAGATTTCTATAGTGAGATTACTAGCTTACATGACTAGTGATGTGACAAGCAAATAGTGAACGAATTGTATTTTGACGTCAGGACAGCTTCCGATTAGGTGACTAAAAATCTCTTAATTAAAGAACTTCAATCGATTGCAGCTATTTACGCCAATTTGCAATGGGTGCTATCTTTACACACAAAGAGACATCAGACGGTAAAATTGATTTCACAATATATATACACCATCTAGAATCAGTGGTGCTGTTCAGGGCAGTGTCTTGGATCCACTGCTTTACTTAATCTACATCAAGAGTACACGTAGATGCTTCGACACCGACACAATCTACCTCCACAGTGATGTCTTAAAGTCATCTGTACAAACAGTTTTATACCAGGGATTCGGCATGAATTCAATATCACTAGCTAAAGATAATCCGCCACGCATCCGCACCAGATCACCATCGCTTATGTTGTGCGACTAATCCTTCACTCAAGCAATCCAACCTTCCGTCATGCCCAAATTGAACAATAACCCACAACCTTGACGACGTTCGAACATCTTTGAATTATCGGCTACACTGAAGTATCACCATTGTAAGGTTGCTGTGTTGTCTTGTCGTCATTGATTAAAATAATTATACATATATGTTTATGTATACTTATTATTGATAGTGAAAGCCTCTATTCAGTATCGGAGAATATTAATGATCTCTTTACAACATGACATCACGTGAATCACAAAATGTATCACCAAACTCAGTTCAGTATTTTTTTTTAAGCTAAATTACAGAACTCGTGTGTACACCTGTCTCTAAGGTAACTTGTGTATTTAAGTACTTGATGTGATTCAACGTGCAATTATATGTTTGCTAAAGCTGTATAAAATTCCATTTTAACTTTTACTCTGAATCTTCAGCATAGATCTCGTATGTCCGTAAACACAAAGGTTACTAAGCACTGTATTAACAAACTGTTTTCAATTTGGAGATGTCGAAATAACTTCAAAAATGACTCGAAGTATCACTGATATATCGTACGGGAACTGACTGAGTTGCTTGGAGATATTTTCTTTATCGAACTGCAATTTACGAAGCGATTTAACACAGGCTTTCCATAAACTAAACGATGACTTTGGTACTAACAGGTCTTATTTCTCCCGTACAACTGGGACCAATAGGATGAAAGAACACCGAAAGTTTAAAAGGACATATCATTTACGTCTGGAGTTTCCTACCAGAACACGTGATATCATCACCTTCCAGTATCCAATACATTTTTCACGAGCTAGTATAAACCAATTGATTTCTTCACCACGATTCTTGTTCTTTCAGTACAGTTCCAGGAGTTTGGTAATGTCCAATGAATGAGTTTCTAGCCAACGGACTGTCGAATTCCAGTCAGTTGGCAGTTGTTTGTGAGTTTGTATGTCCCGTGATTTGAATGAAAACGTTTGTTACAGGCCAGTAGGGTTTTTGGATACCAGCAGCTATCACACTACCAGACCGGAGATCAGTTAGTTGCAATATGGAGAATAATAGGGAGAATATTCTAAGAGGATTTCAGAACTAAGTAATATATAGATAATTTCGTTTACCAATTGGTAGTGAAGATTGCGAGAGAGAACGGAAGTGTAATCAAGGGAGAGGAAATAGAGATAACAGGCGAGAAAGATTAAGTTAGTAGTCTGAGAAGATGGAAATAATAACGACTGGCGAGTCTCAAGGCATGCATCAGGCACAGCTTGTCCACGAGGGAGATGATAATCCGTATGTGAGTACGTGTTCATCAAGTCTCTTCATAAAGCTATTGATACATTTATTAGAGATTTGATCTTCACAGTACTGAAAATTGGGATAATATCAATCGCTTGGTCTGCCACATTTACTACCAAAGACTAAAATTAGATCTAGGGTTTCTGTCACAAACTTATATAGCTATTCTAGTCAGTCAATCATCTATAACGTAGAATGGCAAAACTGTATGATCACTATTAAGTCAGTCAGTCAGTCAGCCAGTTGCAACGTAGAACTTCGTACGTATGTACATAAGTTCATCTTGCCATACCACATTAGCACAAAGACGCAAATGTCAAATCAAATCCCATATTGATAGAGATAGTAGAGGTATTAATAGTCATTAAGAGGACTAGGTTTTGAAGATATTATTGAAGAAGCATAATTCAGTGAGATAAGGTTAGACAGGCAAAGGTAGAGGTGCTGACGAATCCAGAAGATAAGGATTTGAGAGAGCACCTTGAATGGATGCACTTGCGCCATTGCAAACGATTTTGAATCATGTCACTCAGGGTCTCTAACCATCGATTATTATCATCTCGCGGACCCCAACCAGGTAGTCGACACCTATCAACATGACTCGATCCAGTTGTCAGTGACTTCATGGACTTGTGTCATGTTCTGTTCTGGCCGCCCCTAGCTTTCTTCCAACCCAATCCTACACCACAAAACATAGCTCGTCGAGGCAGTCGGTAGTTGGTCATTCGTAACAAATGTCGCAAGCACCTCAACTGATGAAGTTTCATCACTCCATCAACTGGTCTGTCATCCATACCTATTACTTGTTTCCTAACTATAGCATTTCTTACTCGGTTGTCGCAGGATATAAAAGCAATGCATCGAAGATATATATAGTCGAATTCTAATAACCCACCAATGTTCTCAACTTTTACCGACCATGCTTCACATGGCCCGAAGATTGCATTTTGTCAGCGTCTTCACCAAATAGAACTATGTCATCAGCATACTCTAAGTCAGCAAACGTGTCTCCTCTCCACTCTTGACAAGTCAAATGAGAATAAAGTTAACTTTATAAGCATATCTACGACAAAGTTGAACAGTTATGGAGAGAGTAGACAGCCCCGACGGACACCATTTGAAGTAAAGAATTCCGATGACAGTTCGCCATAAGCTCTAACTCGACCAGAGGTGTTCGAGTAGAGAGCCTGTATAGGCATACCTTTCAATGACAGACACTGTCATAGAACCTCACTATCGACAGAGTCGAATGCCGCTTTAAAGTCGAGAAATACTACTATTGTGGGATGTCTGAAAGCGTGTCTATGTACTAAGACCTGACGTAGTGTGAATATCCGGTCTATACATACATCCACGTCCAGGTCTGAAAACAGCTTGGTTTACTCTGGTCTGTACTTCACCAACTCTAGTTAGGCGTCCGAGTATTATTGAGGCCAATATTTGAAATACTGTGTTGGTTAAACTGACTTCTCTGTGATTACAACAGCAGGACTTCTTTCTTATAAATTGGTACAATCAGGGATTGAGACCACTTGGATGGGATTACGTCTAGTTCCCAGATTCTAGCTAAGATCTCAGTCAATCTAACTGCTAAAAATGGTCCACCGTGCGTAAAAGGATCAACGGCCAATCCATCAGGACCAGCTACCCTTCCCCGCCTCAGATTTCCTTTAGCTTTCTAAACTTCGTGAAGACTCGGAGGACTTATATCGATTTGCCACTTAGGATGACTGGAGATTGTGGGCAACCGAAGTGTGGCTGATGGCCAGTTGAATCGATCTTTTAAGTATTCTGCCCATCGATCTAGTCTTCTGGGTTGAGAGTGAATGATACAACCATCCTTTTGTGAGATAGTTTCGCTGACAGATGGATTTCTAATACCGGTTTTCTTGATAAAGCCAAAAAGTTTCCTGCTGTCGTCTCTCCTTTTTCTGTCTCCCTTGCTTTCTCTACTCACCACTTTCCGCGATCATTGCTTATTCTTCTTCTGGTCCTTCGCCTAGGCTGACTCTGCTCCTCATCGTACTCAAATCCAGACGGGATGAGTTTCCAACCATCTATCAAGTCGGTAGTCGCTACTGAAATCCACCGCTTCTCCCTAACCTTATGGTCTAGCTTGCTAGCAGATATCATTGCTGTTTCCACAGCTTTTTGGATATCGTCTCAAGTTGCTTCCGGAAGGGCATTATTTACTACATGGCTGCCAAACTGTTTTTCTAGTTGTTCCTGAAATATATTCCTAGCTATGTTATCTTTGAGTAGAACCCTACGAGTTTTCCTTGTGAGATGCAAACAAATATGCGCTCGCACTAGAGCATGATCTGAATCTAAACATATGCCCCAAAACGGGCGACAGTCCTCTATCGAACCCCTCCATCTGTGGCTGATGGCAATGTGATCTAGTTTGGCCCAGCGTTAAGACGACTTTGGGGGTCTCCATGTCAAGAGATGTTTTTCCTTATGCCTAAAATTAGTGTTTGCTAGAAATAGTTGGTTATCTGAGCACAGTTGCAACAGACGGTCACCATTATCTGTTATTTGAGCCGCGACAGCATAAGATCCACCCAAGTGTCTTTCCTTTTCAGTTAGTCTACCTACTTGAGCATTGAAGTCACTAGCCATTATTACTATATCAGAGCGCTTAACTTTCAGGTTAGAGAGGTTTCTGTAAAACTTATCTCTTACCTCATCTGAACTGCAGTCAGTGGGAGCGTAGGCAGATACGACAAAAAGACAATGGCCAGTTTCTTTATGGTTACTAGTCCCTACTGTCCCGTTTAGTCGGACAGCGCACAAGCTACTATCTACAGGGATCCAGTCTAGGAAAGCTGGTTCTGCCGCAGGGGTTCCGGGTACACGAAGCGTGAGTGATTTTACTCGGATCCTATGTGCGCGTTTCGGAAACGCTGCATACATCGATGGTGCGAGATTCTAAAGTCATAGCTAAGGAAACCTGTTGTCTTATTTGACACAATGTCTGAACATTATAAGCTCCAACATGCAGTTTAGAACGGGGTTTCAGGGGACCATGAATAACGCTTCGGCTTTTCGTCAATATATCAACTCTTAGCAATCGGTCACCGTAAAGAGTATTTATAGACAATATAGCTTGAATTATATGTGTACTTTATTTTTGCATTTAAAAACCCTTAACTTGTCATTAGTAATAATTAATTTAGTTATTTATCTATGAATTTTAACGTAAATGTATGTGAAATGAGACATCACTTATTCATTTCGATCATAGTCCTGATTACAGTGTGAACTATATTAGGTGCTTTGTTGGAAGAATGAAAATATCACTAGTTAAAAATTGATTTAAAACATTTTATGTCAAAGTTGTAACAGTTTATGTAGATAGCTCGAGAAAACATCATGAGTATTGAAGTGGCCTAAAATAATGATTCTAACTTAGAAAGTGTTCGTTAAAAATAACTTTCAATGTCCTACATGCATCAATTTTTAGGTTGCATTAAATGTGAATATTTTAATACTGTAATGCTTTTTATTCATCACCTGAGATAATGTGACGGCAAACTATCTACAGTAATCCACGGAGCGTATGATACAGTTAGTATAAAAAAATCAAAATGCTAAATGCTATTTTCAAAGATGGTGCAATCGATGAACTATCAGGAATAAAATTGACAAAATTTTTACTAACAAATGACTTTGGAATCCTTCAGATTGTATGTGTATTTATGAACTTACCCGCTCCTGTGAAGATAGCTTGAAATAACTCAATGAGCACATCGTCGTCATGTAAAGCATTGTTCTGTGGTTAAAAATGGAACCATTAAATCCATGAAAATTTCAATACTCATTCAGTGAATACAACATAAAATCTACAAAATAACATCTGACACTACAAAGGATTTCAATGTTGATGAATTTTCATTTACTAAATATATGAGAAGTAATGTGAATCACAACTTAGCAATGAAATTTATGCATACAAAATCATTTTTCCAGTTTTCATCTCTTACTGATAAGACGGTAATACGCGGTCTCTGTCCTAGTCACATGATAAGAGTAATTTTTGCTCATTATCGTTTTTCTCAGGTTCTGCGTTACACGCGACTGATTGTTTAGTGTTTTCAATACTCAAATTTTACTTGGAATCTCTTCAGATTGTGCAAATTTTATAAATTATTCATCAGACTTGCTATCTATAAGACAAAACTTCCTCTGTTCTATGCACACAATCAATCTATACACTGATCATATTGTGTACTACCTTAATATAACTGAGATTTTGAAAAAAAAATAAATTTTATTGATAGGACTAAATATGTTTACTCATAACTGTATTTTCACATTTTAGCATGGTTTCATCAAAAAATGACATAAAGTTCACATGGCTTGCAGCTTGTCTTGTCAGTTTATGTGGTTTAGGACCGTGGATTGTTGTTAATGGATTATTTGTCGAACTACCGATATTGGTGAATGTTTTACCAGAAGGTTGGAGTTTGCCTGCTTACCTGATAATCATTATACAAGTGCGTTGAATTGTTAATAATGTTTACTTAAACACTGAATAGGTTTATCCGTATTAATTATTAAAATGAAATTGAAAATAGTAAAATAGCTAGTAGTTTTACTGAAGAGTTCAAATTATCACTGTTTTTGACAGTTTTTTTTTCAGTCATAAACTGCATGAAATATTATACATGCATGAATATATTTTTTAATATATTTCACAGACCAGATTTATGTAACATTCATATGTTTTGTAAGATCTTTTGAACTTTCATGGATGATAACATGACAATAAAAGGACGAGAAATTCAGATCACTGTTATAGGTATTTACTTTCAGACATATCACTTCTACTCGAATCAAGTCAAAAATGATTTCATTAATTAATACAAAAAAGTCAATTGCATTAAGTGTATTTAACCGGCGTTTTTATCATTTTTAAGTAATTATAACTCTTCAGTTATAAATAGATTAGTGCCCTATCTCGGTGATAAAGTTTTCTAATGGTTGCTTCAATCTGATTTTCACCTTACCATGAGTTTTTAAAAAGATCACAAAGTTCATGAAACGCCAAGATTTTATTCTGTTCTGATTTCATGTTCTCAATTTTTTCCGCAAAATCTCAGGCGACTACTTATCACGTGGTATGTTGAGAACTCAACTTGGGCCAATTCTGTAGAAGCTTTTACAAATTATTTACGGTGGAGACCGTAAAACTACATACACAGTCTGTTGTTCTATTACTGTGAAAAACCATCCCACCATAGATAGTTATCACATTTCTGACTTTTTGTAATTGCATTATTGATTCGATATTATCTATAAATGCAAACAAAGCGCGTGGCACATCTTTGTCCAACCCATATAAAATAAAGGTAACATTTGGTTCCTAAAGTCTATGTCTCAGTTACTCTTGTATCAATGATATTTTTTGTTGTTGACAATAAACATCTAAGGATAGACTCCGTTTCGTTTATAGAAAACTTTATTTGACAAAAAACCATTTTAAAGATATCAATAAGTCTAATCATTAATTTTAGGTCTATAGTGTACTCTACATGAAAAACTTGAATTTGTCTAAATAGTTCATTTGGATTAATTTTATACTAAATGAATTTTCTATATTTCTGTTGTCTCTATACCGTAATTCTATTCGGACCTTGGTTTCAGTCAGTCAGTCATCTACAACGTAGAGCTTGGTACGTACGCACATCAGTTCAAGTTGCTGAACCATATCACAAATTGTGACTCGAATGAATGAAATGAATAATGAATGTAATATTCTTCATTTGTGTAGTTAACTACGTGAAAATATACTTCGTAAGATTTTAGACCTTATAAAGACCTATAGACAATTTATAATGTAGTTTCATGAATTACATGTGGAGGAAATGAATCTTACTGTTTGTTCTTACACTTCCCTAAACTAGTTGTTTGTACTGAAATAAAGGTGTTTTACATTTTTTGGTTTACACATTGTTAGATTGCCAATGTGGCACCAGTGATCTATGTTTCGATGACAAAATTCTTCAAAGCTAAATCAAATGCATTGTGTTCGCGTTGTTTGCAACCACCTGAGAGAATAGCCAACTACATAATACTCGCCGTTGGTCTAATATCGTGCATACTGATTTCGCAGTTTTGGGATGTAAGTGCTATTTTGTTTGCTAGATTTAGATATTAGAACAACTCATATCAGCGAACAATATTGTTTTCAGTTAGATCGTCATCAGGTTTTACTCTAATATAAATGAAATTGAAAACAATTTTGTTTTCTTATATGTGTTGTTCTAATATTCAAAATGGGGATTTTTAAGATTTAGTTATGTTATTATTAAGAGTTACAAATCTTTATTAATCTATGTTTAAAAATATTGTCTAACATGCATATAGCTGTTATTGCCATACTGAAAAAATGTTTAAATTATTGAAATCATGAACCGATCTGTATTTGGTCACCATCGGAAGCTCTGGACGACCGTTCCGTTTTAGTATGGGAACTCTCAGCAATGCGGGTCCACGACCCAGAGAATCGAACCCAAGGCATTTGCTATCATGCTGGAATGCTTAACCTCTAGAGCACTGTTTTGTTTTCCGGCGCTATCACTAACTAGCTTCAGTCAGTCTACTATATAGCGCGGACATCACCCATTGTTACAACGGGTAACTGCCTCATATCTGATATGGTTAAACTCCACTGGTCGAGGCTACTCACTAAAACTCTGAGAGTTCCCTCTCGGAGCTATTCACTGATGAGTACATAATAGTTGTTCGATTCATGATCTTGATGAAACTTAACAACCTTCACAACCCTATACTGATAATTACTAATTACTTCTCAACTTAATTTCCGACAGTCTAATATGACTCGGAAAAATCACTGGAATAGACGAAGTGACTGTTACTAACATATAACTTGATAAATGAATAATCAAGAATGAAATAAAGAGTCTCAAACCAGTCAGTTTTTATTCGCTTCTACCCCGTCATAAATTTTACCTATCAGTTTTGAAATCAGATAATACAAATTAATTTATTTATTATTCCCGAATGTATCGAGTAATTTCAACTGTATTATGTCTATTTGAATGGCTAATTAATTTATTTTCCTATGCAAATGTATCGTTAATGGCAATGATTTACTAGTCTGCAATACTAATCAAAGTTTGTAAATTAATTGGCATATCATGGGGTTGATTAAACAATAGGTTGAAATGTTGTGATCTGACGTTAATAATCCTAAGAAAATATATTTATGGATCTCTTAATTAATCAGAACTTTTAAACTACTTTTCCTGAAGCGTTGAGGAAATTCAAATTGTTACCAACTTCTCTACCGATGTTCAAAGTGTTAGATTTTTAGCAGTGCTGACCGGTTAAAATATAATTTTACTTTTAAGAAGAAAATGTATCAGATGGTATACGGTTATGCAGAAACTAATGTAAGTTGCTATCTCATGTATTATGTCGCAACATATCACCTCTATTCACTCTGAATTAATCATTAGCATTCTGTTGATAAGTACAGAGAAATAGCCCTTATGATTTTATTTGGTGTGCACAAAAATTCTTATTAAACCACTGATATTCTTAATTTACCTGACTGATATTCCATTTGGAGCAGTTTTTACTGGTAGCGTTATAACAGAATACCTACGTCTTGTATTTTCCATCAGAGACATCCATTTCTCTTTAAGGTCCACTTCTCTCTTGCATGTGTTACTTTCTCTTCCATCGGGTTTACTGGTCTCTTGTAAATGAATGTTTTTGACGCATATGTGATATAATCATACATTAAATGAAGTAAAAAAATATAGATGATATTTTTGGATAAGGTAATCTACATACTCCCTTTTGAATTTAGCCACTCATTAGGTCATGTATATTTAGATGTTTTTTTTTAGCTAATGTAAATTGATTTCCTATGTCCAATCAACTTATTGGACCGTTGCAAAGTGTTGAAAAAGATATTTCTGTTATTCTTAACATACCTTGTTAAATCATCCTTAGCGAATGATTTATAACCGTTTGTAAACTTTCGGACATCTGTTTTCGCTTCACTAATATTCGAAATTCTGTTGTTTAAATCGATATATTTAGTAATTAAACTTGTTTGATACACACATCTGTCAGATTTTCTGTGTCGTTTGTTGTTAATTATTTTTGTTTCTTTACTCATCAAAGAGATCGTGTTTTTCATCAATATTTTCGTTATAAAATGAGAAAGTTGAACTTAGTTAGAATCATGTTTGAACTATAGATCATGTGAATAAAATACAATATCACAGTTTGATATATTCCATGTAATATGTGGTGCATAAAAAAACTCATAAATTCTCATGTCTTAACAATGTATCTACTTAATTATTTCTTAAATTCACTTTTTAATGGTACCTTTTTATTTAATTGCAATCATAACTGGTCGATTTCAAGACTCAGTTATAAATTATCAGGTTAAAAGTTCAAGCTATACTTTAGTATTTAGAGTTTACGTCAAAAAGATGAATAAAGGCTTGACTATTAGAATGTTATGATCAAACTCATCGGGATGTACTGATGAATCTATTCTTCAACTAATTAGTGGATAAACCAAGAAAAGTCTTATGTTAGTTCCTTATAAGCTATAATTTATTTCTGTCATTCAAGTTTATTAAAATATAAATTATTCCCCTTTTCATTCTTGCTTTGATTTGAATAGAATCAGATGATGTATATTCTTTAAGAAATGCTAAATTATTAGAAGAAAAACACATCAGTTATATTGATATTGTAATCGGTCATTCAATCAATCTAATTACTCAAAGATAATGTAATTACTATGTATAATGAATGTACCAGAATATTTATTAATATATTTATCATTCTGTATTGTATAATGAATGCATTTGTGCATACACAGTTGAATATTTGTGAAAAAAAAATCTGTAAAAAGAATAAATTCTAACTTTCAAATCACTGGTTAAAACTAAACTCGTTAAACTGTTTATTCACATTTATTTAATAAGTGAATTTATTATTTATTTTTTTTTTACCGATAATCAAAACAACTCCGTCTGTATATTTTAATTTCATTAGAATAGATATTTTTTCTAACTCTTTTCTTTTTTTTAATTTTTAGTCGGTTGTTTATATATCAATATTGAAACTTGGTTATCATAGTGTTGGATTATTTGTCTTAGCTTTATTTGCTTCAATTGTTGGTTGTACATCATCGGTTACATTTGTTACTTATTTGAATGGAATGCCTCAATCGTATGTAGGTGCATTGCATTTCGGTGAAGCATTTAGTGATTTAGTTCCAAGTGTATTAGCTCTTATTCAAGCAGTTAGTTCAGAACCAGAATGTATCAATAAAACAGGTAAAATTAATATAATAGTTTTTGTTTTTAAATATTCTAAATTCTTTAACACATACAAAGTGATTGTTTGTCAAAATTTTAAATTATATTATATCTTCGTTATGGTCAATATTCTTAATTTTTCGTATTATAATGAAATGGCTACTGACTAGTGTATGTTGCACTCATTTTATTATTACTAATAGATACGTAATATATGTATATCCTCCTAGCGAAAATTAAAATGAGTCTCATTCAGCTAGTCAAATTTATTATTTCAATTCGAGTTAAAATCTTACATAACGGATTAATAAATACGGCACTTGTCACCGTGGCGACAAAACCCTTCCCGTAACTGTCGTGAATTATTACTCACAAGTAAACCGTATTTTTTGAGTTTAGACTCGTCTTCCTTCGCTACAGAAATGTTTGAACTAACTAAGCACTGAGTGGTACTCCATGTCATGTTATCTAGTCTTTAATTGTGAACGAATTCTTTCAATCATGTTTTACTGTGCACACGAGGCTGATAAAAATGTATCTCTACGGGTTTCGAATTTACGTCATCCGATTTCACGTTATTCTTATCACTCAGCTATTGGACACATGATTGAACTCTAGGAATATCATCTTCATGTTAATTAAGCACTGAGTAGTAAGCTCTATCATGTTGTTTAATTGGCTTCTACTAATCAAATTGCGATATAGACAGTAGACTAGTAAACTCCACATTGTGTTACATTTTGTTTGATATCATACAGTTGCAAGCAATCAGCAGAGATGATGTAGCTTAGTGGTTAAACTACTTGGTTTTTCAACTGACTGATTTCGATTTTTAGCTCTAGCTGGTTCAGTTTCAGCAACCAGTTTGAATGGTTAGTCCTTTGTTCATTAAGTGTGATTTAAAGCTGAATATATAAATTTGTACTTTGTAATTGGGTAAATTATCTAACACGATTATTTAAACGTCGATTTCGTGCTGATACAATGATCAGTTTCTTTATTTCTTAAGTTATCTCCTAGTTATAATAATAATAATAATAATAATAATAATAATAATAATCATTATTATCTATTGATTGCCAGGTATGGATACACGTATTCGGCTTCAAGCCACATTTTCGGTGTAAGGGCAATGGCTAGTTAGATACTACTAGGTTGCCGAAGCCGAACAAAATAGTACGGAGCTAGAACCTTTGAATTAGCGACAAAATATCAAATGCCTTAACTATTTAACCACTTCCTAGTTATTAGTTGCTAATTAAAACAGTTAATATAATTTTTTTTGTATCTAGTTAAATTGAAATTATGAAAATATATTACTAAGAAATTGTATTTGAATACGTATTGTTCAAAATATTGTTATATTTTCATGATAAAATAAATAGTTCAACTGCACTATTGTTGCTTCCATTCATTTATTATTATTATTGTTCCTTTTTCTTTCCTATTTTTCTTCTTCTTCTTCTTCAGTTAATGGGACAAATCATGTGGTGGCATTTTTCCCACCACCGCGTTTCTCATTCAGTACATTCATATATTTAATATGCATTATTGTAATGTTATCTTTAACTGCATTCATACTGCTAGATTATTCGCCTATTGGTCTAGGCAAAGCTATTCATGAACATTATCGAAAAACTAATTTCATATTAGAATCTAATGAAACTATTGATAATAAAGATGACAACAATAGTCAATCCAATGATGATCAGTCGATTTCTAATGGGATTTTGAAAGATATTCAAAATGGTATGTTGTAGTAGGTTTTCCTGTTTACTTTTGTATATTGAATTATGTATTCTAAAGTGAAAACTCATTAACAGAGTGTGATTTTTTTTAATCTTGAAAAAGTTTGGGTATAATGATAATTGTGTAGATAAATACAAAAATCTCATTGTAAATTTCTACAGTTACTGACTAAAATTCACCCAAATTTTAGTTTAATTTAGCTAAATAATGTTATTTTCAAACGATAAACATAACTCAAAGTACTGTACACTGAGATTTATTATTATTATTATTATTATTATCATTATATAACCGTTCATATGGTCATTAGTTACATATTTGATCATTTTTGAATCACTACAATGTTTCATATTACTAATGTTATGCTTTGAATACTGTAATTCACCAGGCATTTCTTAAATTACTACAAGAAAAACATTGCATATTCCAGTGAACTTGAATAACACTGATAATAAAGATATATCGTTAAAAAATATTACAGTGTTCAATAAATTTATTCAGGAATCCTTTAACATATCGATTTATCCGCCAGAGTTGATAATTTAAAAATGTGTCAATCAATATATTCCGATATGATACTGGTCAGAGCATGCAATAGTCTGAGACTTTAACATTCTAACAGCTAAAATTTTAAATTAACAGGATCTTAGTTACTATTGTGCACAAAAGTCGAGTTAAAAAAAAAACAACGAAATATTGTGAATATAAATTAAGAATAATTACATATTATTTAGTTTACAACAGTACGTTTGAACTACGCAGCCGGCTCAAGCAATATCTCCTATTGTGGTGCTGTGGTGCGAACTACTTATAAGTAGTATATAACGTGAGTGTCAACGTAAAGTCTGGTAGCATAATATGGGGGGAAGATCAAGAAAAGAAGAGTTAGAAAACAATGGAATTTGTATGAAACGCATAAATAGTGACAATGGATTGATGTTTGGCAACAGGAACAGTCCAGTTCCATAGGATGAACTGATCTTTTGCAAATGAACGATTTACGATATGGTTTTCCGATTTTACTGAGTAACTCTGTAATTTTCGTTAAATACAATTCGGTTGCCCCACCTGTGTTCTCATTCACTACACTATGAACAATAAAATTTACTAATCACTTCTACACATACACTAATTTGTAGTAGGGTTAGTTCACTGGCTAATATCGAATTTCTAGAATTATCATATATCTTGTTAAGTAATTCTAAACGCTGGTGTTATACGCTTATGATAAGTTAGTTTAAAGCACAAGGCGAAGTCAACCTTCTGTTTTATTCTCTTCAGTTTTCGTCAGTGACAAGCATATGTCTACGTTCTTTTGAAAATAAATATGTTTAAAAGTAGTTCACAACAAGTATTTTGCAGAAGATTGAATTCACTGGTGCCTAACTTCATTCCGTACTTTGTACATGTGTTCTATTTTGTTTACATTGGAAAATAAACATTTATTTGCTTACCTGATGAATGAATATTAATTCATATTCTTTCAAATAGCAGCATTTTAATACACTACCAGTAATAAATAAGCTTATGTCATTATGATGTTTGTTTTTTTGTAAGAGTTTCTTTCGTAGTTTCCACATTGAAAAGAATAATTTATTCGACTTTTTTTATTACACATCAACGTAGATCATTTTCTCTGTTAATGCAATGAACACCTTTGATCTAATATTATGACTAAAATTAATTTTTTGTTACATAAGTCTTATCATCATTGATTCGATACTTCTAAATAGTTTTTATGATTACAGAATAAACGGTATAATTTCTTCATCCAGATTATTTTTTTGATTATATGTTTATATATAGTATAATTTATGATTGTGTTTATTCAGAAAGCGACTGACTTTTTTCTCACAGAATATCCTAACCATTATTTTTCTTGATAAATAAATAAAAGTAAGTGTAAACTACAAAGTTTTCAAAAGCATAATATTCATTTCAATCGGTCAGTCAATAATACAATAGAACTTCGTACGTGCGTACATCAGTTCAGGTTAGCATACAGCATTAGCACAGAGACGCAAATATCGATTCAGATCCTATAGTGGAAGAAATAGTAGAAGTATTAGCGGCAATCTGAAAGATTAAGGCTCGAGGAAATTATTCATGAAGTAGAATATAGTGAAATATACTTAAAAAGAAAAAGATAAAGGTGATGGGGAATTCAGAAGGTTATGAGTCGAGAAAACACAAAAAGTGGATGCAAATGCGCCATCGCAAATGGTTTTCAGCCAAATAAGTCAAGATCTCTAACGATCGATTATTATCATCTCATAGTGTCGAAACCAGACAATCAACACCTACCAACACGACTGAATCCAGTTGTCATTGACTTCATGGATTTGTGCCATGTTCCGTTCTGGCCGCCCCTAGCTTTTTGCCAACCACAAAACATAGCTCGTCGAGGCAGTCGGTAGTTGGTCATTCGTAACAAATGTCGCAAGCACCTCAACTGATGAAGTTTCATTACTCCATCAACTGATCTGTCATCCATACCTATTACTTGTTTCCTAACTATAGCATTGCTTACTCGGTTGTCGCAGGATATTAAAGCAATGCATCGAAGACATCTATAGTCGAATTCTAATAACCTACGATCATCCTCAACTCTAGGACATTAGCATTGATGGGACTCCGGAGATAAGTGAATCGGTCAGCACTCCTAACTGCTTCACTCCGTATCAGGTGCCGACGCTAAACACTCTTCAAGCGACATTTTGCATTTCGATGGTGAGAATCGCATCCCGAACATACTTACATTGTTGCTTAGGGTAGTCAGAAGGCTGCATTTTTTCAGCGTCTTCACCAAGTAGAACTTTGTCGTTGGTTTATCTTCTGTCAACAAGCATGTCTCCTGGTAGAATTTTCACACGTGAAAAGTCAGACGAAGATAAAATTAACTCTAAAAACATGTCTATGACAAAATTATACAAGAATGGAGAAAGTGGATAACCCTGACGGACACCACTTAAAGTAACAAATTCCGATGACAGTTTACTATAAGCTCCAACTCGACCAGAGGTGTTCGAATAGAGAGCTTGTATAAGGTTAATGTACTTCTTTGGTTCACCCTCTAGTGACAGACACTGTCACAGAATCTCACGACGAACAGAGTCAAATGCTGTCTTAAGGAAGACGCCTAAATGTGTGTCTGTGTTCCAGGACCCGTCGTAGTGTGAAAATGTGGTTTATACATCCGCGTCAAGGTCTGAAAGCAGCTTGACTTTCTGTAGTCTGCTCTTCACGAGCACTAGTTAGGCGTCGAAGTATAATCGAGGCTAGCACTTTTGACACTATATTAGTTATACTGATTCCTCTGTGGTTGTCACAAGAGGACTTTTGTCCTTTCTTTTAAATTGGGACAATCCCTGATTGATACCAGTCGAATGGGATTGCGTCCAGTTCCCAGATTATACCTAAGATCTCAGTCAATCTAGCTGCCAAAACTGGACCACCACGCTTAAAATTCTCAGGAGTAAGCCTGTCAGGTTCTGCTGCTCTTCCTCGCTTAAAGTTTTCTTTAGCTTACTAAACATCATAAAGAGTCGCATGACAACATCGATTTGCCATTCAGGTTGACTGGATATCGTGGGCAATCGAAGTGTGGCTGAATGCCAGTCCAACTGACCACTGAAGTTTTCTGTCCATCAATCCGATTCCCGGGATTGAGAATGATTAATAAGACCATCCTTTTCTCAAGTAGTCTCACTTACATTTGGGTTACTAATTCCAGTTTCCTTGATAAAGTGGAACAACTGTCTCTCTCACTATCGCTACCCACCACTGTTCATTGAGTATTATCAGCCTGCAATTAACACTACTTCGCTCTTCGTTATGTTCAGAGCCAGGTGGGATAAGTTTTTGAGCATCCATCAGTTCGGTAGATGATATTGAGATATACGGCTTCATCCTAGCCTTATGGTTTACCTTACTAGCAGATATCACTACTGTTTCCACAGCCTTTCTGATATCATACCAACCTGCTTCTGGATGGGAATCGCTTACATGGTCGCCTAACTCTCTTTCTAGTTGCTCCCGAGAAAACTGTAGTATCGGTAATAACTAATTAACTATAAATCTAAAACTGTAAGAAATGTGACAACTGTATGTGTGTCAAACGAAGGTATGAAAATATCGAGACAAAAATTTCCAATCATCTGTTAACTTAACAACGGAAATACAGATAATCCTTCATATACTGACCCCAAAAGTTCTACTTCCACGTTGTTGGTCCCATTATATCACAGATATATACCAAGTTAGTCGCTGAAATTACTAACCATTCGTGTAAAGGTATAATATTTCTTTTTAGGCTTTCAGCGATTGCAGAAGTTAGACTCACTATTCATTTTAAAACCCATTTTTGCTTGTTTTTTCAGTCGACCTTGCGGTTTCGAATCACGTTGGACAAACTGTACAGTTGCATAATGATGTTCATGTTACGAAACAACCTGGACCAAACACATTTTTATCATGTTTACTTATCTTTTACATTAGTGCATCAAATTACGGATTTCTGCCAGCTATACAGTCTTATTCATGTGCTGCATATGGCGCCCTTACATATCACTTGGCGGTTACACTGCCAGGAGTGTTCTCCGCCATTACGACAGTGCTAACTACATTTCTAGTCAATCGTTATTCTAAAGAAATAGATAATACCGATGAATTAACATTCCAAAATATGCAAACTATGGACTGTGAATTACAGGAAGATAATCAAATTTCCTACATACGAAAATCTGACAAAATTATGAATAATGTATGTATGCGTTCGCTTCAAAAGAAATGGATTAGCATCGCATTCATTTCATTGTTACCTGTGGCTTATGTAATCTATTTGGCTAGTTCAAGTCCCAGTCCACCATATTTAGGTGGTTTCGGTTCTGCGAGTGCTGTATGTTACATCTTGATTTTTATTCGTTTTTGTTGCTTATTTTAATAAATTATTCTAAAATTATCCGGGTTACAGTCTCAGTCAATAAAAATACCTTAGTGTTTTTTTTAAACACTCAGTGTAATTACAATTTGATGAAAGACGAACCATTTATTATGGAAATGAACCCTCCCAATTATGAAACATGGATAACAACTAGTATTTATGCATGGAGCTTTTTTCAAGATTAGAATGGACGGTTTTTTGGTAATCGCACATCTAGTATGTAAAACAACCTCGTCCATTCTACTTCAGTTTGGGCCAACAGATAGTATTATTAACATTCTTACCCGATGAATGAGCTAGTTTATTTTTAGAATTTAAAAATCTAATTATATTTTTCGTGAATTCCAGTGATAGTAATGTTAAGTGTTTCACTGGATGATAAATACGATCACTAAGATAAACTTGTATTAAATAGTTAACCACTCATTTTCATTTATTGAATCTTAATATAAAAATAAATCATTGGACTTTGTATAATACTACTGTTATTTAAGAAATATATTACTCGTTGGAACAGCATAGTTTCAATTACTGAGATTTCTAAAAATACAATTCCATTTTCAAATAACTAATCAATGTCATTTCTATTAAGTATTTAAGCTTATTCAGTACTAAATAACAATTCTAGCATTAATTTGATCAGGATTTTGTATGATGTTATTTTTTTGTATACTCATTCTCTATGCATGTTTAAACTTAACTGATAACTAATTTAATATCAAACAGATATACGTTTTATGATACATTAAGTTTTATTCTACAATAGGACGTTTTACAATGAATTGTTAATTTTATATGGCAATGACTTAGCTGTCATTGAATGCATTCATTTATGCCTACTGCTAGTTGATGTTGGACAATAAACTTTTTGTTTTAATGGATCTCTTTGGATGGTTAGCTATGAGATAAATGTTTCAGGATAAATATGGTGGTGTTTGGTTCTCTGAGCTGGATGTTTTGGTTGTGGAGCTTTCATTGTTCTTGTGAACAACATCATCAGCACAAACTTCAGATAGAAGTGAAGCAGTCGAACACCACCACAATCATCCATTTGAGCTACAAATTTTCTCCACCATCTCTGACAGGATAAAACTAGGATTTATTGTGTTACGAGACCCATTGAAGCAGTAAGGCGTTAGGTAATGGAAGCAATGCAATTGATGAAGGTTTACATATACATACTAACTGACGTATTTAGAAGATATATCATGTCATCTTGGTATATCAGTTTGCGTAGGGAGATTTGAACCTCAGTGTATTCGGATCGAAATGTACTATTAACCTACGGTAATTCAAAGTTGTACAGAGAGCTGTTGATTTTGTGGATAAGATTCCTCAGGTTGCCGAAATCTATCTCTGAGACTAGGATTAATGCGTCCTATACTAAAGCCTCTATGATTGTAGTTAGTGATGTTAAGCAGAATAGGATATTACTTGTTAGCGAAAAAAAAACTAGGTCATCAAGTAATTGTTTCTGTCATTTAGTCGAATGTGTACAATCCTATGATACAGAAATGATTTTTAATTAGGTTATTTATTTCCTTATGAATCTTGTAGATCCTAACTTGGATCGTGGTACGTTGTTTATTCGCCAGTTTGCGTACATGGATATGGATGAGTTTGTCTAGCCATTCCAATGGACCGATGCGACTAAGATTAGCTGCATTGTCTACACAATTCGGAGCAGTGCTTGGTGCAACTTTAAGCTTTTTACTAGTTGTTTATTTTCAACTATTTAAAAGTAAACCACCTTGTCTACAAGTGTGATAAAACTCATGTAATAATGTCTTTCATATTTTAGAATATTTATCTACAGATATTTCAGAAATAAGGAAAAAAAGTTATTGTTGATTAGTTAATTAGTATTTTTGTAATTAATTCCTATATATTTATTTACTGTTGCTAACTTATCATAGGTATCTTATATTGTTTTCTTTTGAATTTGTTTATGTAATTACAAACTGCCTATTTGTATTTACACAGTACTTTTCTATGACCACTTATCATTTTTCAGGGCTTCGCATATGTATTGCATGCTCTTGCAACCCCATCAGTTTGGCTTTTTACTCCAAATGTTATCTGATTACGACTTGATTATTTTGTTTTTTTACGGTTGAAATAATTGAAAAATGAATGAAAATAAAATTAGTATACTTTTGGGTTTGTTGTTTTTGTTTGTATGTTGAAACATTGACTAAAATAGTCCTGGTAACAAACAATATTTTATTTTTCTGGCTTTGTTAATTTAACTTAAACAAAATCATATTATGACGTCATTCTCGATGTCCAATTGATTGGATACAAAAAGTGTATATCTATGCTGATGCAATACAAAAGTAGTCTCATTTTCCATAATTAAATATTTTTTTTTTCATTATCCATTAAATTTCTGCAAAGGTAGAAATACCGAATGATAAAGTACACAGGAATTAATAGTATACTGTCAGATGCATGAACCAACATAAGTGCTTGACTTTGTAACGATACATATACTAATGATTATTTTGTTAGATATATCAAGTTTACAAACCCGTCAGCATCTCCATGTGAAAGCACAACGGTATAACAGAACAGAATATACTTGCTACACAAAACAAGTCTTAAAAAATTTATTGAATGTAATTCAATGGTAATGCAACTGTTATTCTGATTTTGTAATGGCAACAAATCACAATCATCTTCGTAAACAAAATGCTGAGGAGAATGTTTGGCCTTGTTAGTTTTCTAGTATTGTGTTATTTGATGTTTCTGCATGATAAAATTTTATATGATGAGTTAAATGTTTTTCATTATTTTAGTTATCATGCCCTGAGTCAGTTACAAAGTGGAAACTTTGCACGCACGTACACACTTTCAGCTTGCCATACCACATTAGCATAGAGACGCAGTTGTCAGTTTAAATCCGATAGTGGTAGAGATAATAGAAGTATTAGCAGTAATTTAGAAGATTAGGGTAGGAAGAAATTACTCAAGAAGTATAATTCAGTGAAATAAATTTAGAAAGATAGAGGTGATGGGGTACACGTGGTTATGTATACATAATACATGTCCCAACCACCTCAACTGACGAAGTTTCAATACTTCATCTATTGATTTGCCCTCCCTTCCTAGTACTCGTTTCCTAACAACTTCACTGCTTACTCGGTTGACCCAGGATATACGAGCAACGGTTCTAAGACACCAGTGATCGAATACTATTAACCTACCAATATCTTCTACTCTTGACGGCCATGTTGTACACCCATAAAGTAGGACGGAGTAAACTGCTGCTCAAAAGACTCGTCTTTTGGTTGGCAGACAGATATCTCACCTACGCCATAAATGATGCAAATTGGCAGAAGCCAATCGAGCACTCTGTATCCGAGCTGAGATTTCGTCTGTCACCAGACCATCAGCACTGATGAGCCTCCCTTAGATACCATCCCAGTGTGTATTTTCTAGCTTGCTTACGTGTTTTATGTCATAATGGGCTTGTCTATTTTATTCGAAGTAGTTTCCTGTCGATATTAAAAAGTGTAAGTTTTCACATGAGATCAATGTTGCTGTTTAGTGTGATTTCCTAATATTTATAATTATGCAGTCTTTGTCTTGTCAAAATATTCATCATCATTCGTAAGACAACATTCATCTTTCGGTCTTCTATAGTAAATACTAGATGATAATTTTTACCACAATAATGATTGTGCACTATCTTGGATGAAGCAATAATATACCTGTTGAGTTTATTGCGCACACAGAACCTTTACTAAAGTTTGATCTACAAGGTTTTCATCAGAAAACCCAATTACGTTTTAACCCCAAGACCATAATCATTCAGTTTCATCTTAGGACCGAAACAATACGCTATACTCTGATAATGGATTTAGGGATTTTTCTTATCCACCTTTGTCGCAGCACAAAACGCCGCTTGATCACTAATGAATGTTAGAAAATAAATAATCCACCACGGCAAAATGTCGATTTCTTGCATTTGATCGCAAATCAGATGCCTAGGTCTCGTAATCTTTACGGATATATCCTCAATATCAGTTTCGTTTATTGGTGGTGACAAGTAACCAGTGACGCCACAAAGAACCACAAACTAGACAATCATAATTTTTGAAATTAAAAAAAGCACACTTTGAAAGGACACAAGATGTAAATATAGTCGGAGAGTTCCACTCAACAATAACACTAATCTCTGAAAAAAATCTTAATTTTTAATATCGAAAGAAAACTACTTTGAATAAAATGTACTAGTCTTTTAGGACAGAAAACACGCTAACAAGTGTACATTGACATGGGTGTTTGGTAACGCAAACCGTGAGAAACATTTAACGCGTCACGTAAAATTTTGTCATGCGGAAACGCAATATCGCAACGATACTGAGAAACAGGCAAAACTAAGTGTGCCCTTTAGCATGGATTTGTTGAGCCATTGACTGCCATTTTAGATTACTATTTGTTGGTTTATAGATACAAAACTTAGTTTATACTTTCTCTGCCCTTATTCGTCATTGACATACTTTTGGAGACGAAACCTTTCAGTCTGACTTTTGCGGGGCTGACCTATCAGGAGACTCAATTATTGACTCCGAATATGCCGATGACATAGTTCTGTTTCGCGACAATGCAGTCTTCAGACCATCTTAAGCAGCAACGCAAACATTATGGTGGTACAATTCTATCCCTTGAAATGCAAAATGTTGCTTGAAGATTGGCTTGCGTCGACACCTAAACTAAACAGAGGGAGTGAAGTGGTTGAGCGTATTGACCGCTTCGTTTATCTCGGGCGTCTCATCAGTCCTTGGGTGTAATAAAATCTCGGCACGGATAGAGAAGGCTCGATTGGCTTCTGCCAATTTGCATCATTTATGGCGTAGGTGAGATATCTGTCTGCCAACCAAAAGACGAGTCTTTTGAGCAGCAGTTTACTCCGTCCTACTTTATGGATGTACAACATGGCCGTCAAGAGTAGAAGATATTGGTAGGTTAATAGTATTCGATCCTTGGTGTCTTACCCAACCGAAGCTGCTACCTCGGCATGGTGGTCGGGCTTGTCTATCGTGATGACCCATCTGAGTTATATTGACTGGAACATATGTTCCTGAAGGTTCTACCGTGCCAGGCACATCGATTGGAGAACGATGAGACTAAAAGCAGCTACTCAAGGTCTGAGGGCGAAGTCGTACTGCTGACTGTAGAGGGGTGTGACAGCAGCAGAGTGTTTCCCTCGGACAACCAGCATCTACAGCGATGCTGCCTTCTCACAAGGAAGGAAGGTTTAGAAAAAGTCGACCCTAAAAATGTCACACCTCATCCTGCCCCACTGTTTTCTGTCTCCGGCGGTAAGGGTGCCCACTAATTACTTTCAAGAGCGGAGCGAATACTCAAAAAACTCTTCATAGAAAGGCCGTGCGTGACCGACCTCAAGCAGTTGTCCCCTGGGCTCTGCGGTCACGCTCCTTCCTTTTCAGGTTCCTCAAGAAACAACTTCCACAGTGTGGGCAGCCGGGAAGTGACAACCGCTCGCATACCCGTAACAGCACACGAGACCAAATTAGTCAAAATCGAATCCTTCATACACCCCCTAATACCTTTTATCTCCATGATTAACTTTTCTCACATTCCTTTATCACACTGCACAGCTAATGCATTGAGTCGTAGGGCAGGACTATCTCTCCTAGACTGGATCCCTGTAGATAGTCGATTGTGCGCTGTCCGACTAAACTGGACAGCAAGGACCTGGAAAGGTAGGGAAACTCGCCGTTGCCTCTTCGTCATATCAGCCTAAGCCCCCACTGACTGCAGTTCAGACGAGGTGAAAGATGAGTTTTACAGAAAGCTTTCGGGCCTCCTCCAAAAAGTTAGGCGCTCTGATATAGTATTAATGACTGGTGACTTCAATGCTCATGTAGGTAGACAGTGAAAAGTAAAGACACCTTGGTGGATGTTATGGTGACGCGACTCAGAGAACAAATAATGGCGACCGTCTGTTGCAACTATGCTCAGATAACCGCCTATTTCTATCAAACACTAATTTTAAGCATAAGGAAAAACATCTCTTGACATGGAGACCCCCAAAGTCGTCTTAACGCTGGACCCAACTAGATCACATTGCCATCAGCCACCGATGGAGGGGTTCGATAGAGGACTGTCGCTCGTTCTGGGGCACATGTTTAGATTCAGATCATGCTCTAGTGCGAGCGCGTATCTCTTTGAGGCTTACTGGACGTAGGAAAGACACCGTAAGGAAACCTCTTAGGGCTTTACTTAATGATAATAAAGCTAGGAATATATTTCAGGAGTAACTAGAGAGTTAGGCAACCATGTAAGCGGTTCCCATCCGCGGGCAGGTTGGAATGATATCAAAAAGGCTGTGGAAACAGCAGTGATATCTGCTAGTAAGGTCAACCATAAGGCTAGAATGAAGCCATGGATCTCTATAGCATTCACTGAACTGATGGATGCTCGAAAACTCATCCCACCTGGCTCTGAACGTGATTAAGATTGAAGTCAGCTTCGGTGCAGGCTGATAAAAAGCCTACGCAACGATCATGAACAGTCGTGGGTGGCGAAAGCAAGAGCGATGGAAAGGGCAGCCGCGATAGTCAACAGTAGACTACTTTTCCGACTTATCATACTGTAAGTTAGACTATCTCGGAAAAGGATGGCTATATCACTTATTCTCAATCCAGGAGATTGGATCGATGGGAAGAACACTTTAGGGATCATTTCGACTGCCCTTTAGCCACACCTCGGCTACCCACGATCTCTAGTCATCCTGAATGGCGAGTCGACGTAAGCCCTCTGAACCTCCATGAAGTTGAAGAGGCTATTGGAAATCTGAAGCGAGAGAGAGGGGCAGGAGCTGATAGATTGACCCCTGCGGTTTTTAAGGATTGTGGTCCAGCTTATCAGCTAGATTGACTGAGATCTTAAGTAGAATCGTGGAAATGGACACAATCCCATCCGACTGGTCTCAATCCCTGACTGTCCCAATTTAAAAGAAAGGACAAAAGTCTTCTTGTGACAATCACAGGGGAATAAGTCTAGCTAATATAGTGTCGACATTGCTAGCCTCGATAATACTTAGTCGACTAGCTAGACCTCGTGAAGCGCAGACTAGAGAAAACCAGGCCGGTTTTAGACATGGTCGTGGCTGAATAGACCATATTTTCACTCTACGACAGGTTCTGAAACACAGACACAAATTTAGGCGTCCGACAATAGTTGTTTTCCTGGACCTTGAGGCAGCATTTGACTCTGTGGATCGTGAGGTTCTGTGGCAGTGTTTGTCATTGAAAGTTGTACCGAAGAAGTACGTTAACCTCATACAAACTCTGTACTCGAACACCACTGGTCGGGTGAGAGCTTGTGGTGAACTGTCACTGGAGTTCTATACTTCAAGTGGTGGCCATCAAGGATGTCCTTTCCCCATTCTTGTTCAATTTTGTCAAAGACATGCTCATAGGTATAACATTATCTTCGTCTGAATTTTCAGGAGTCGACTTTCTTCCAGAAAAATCGCTCACTAACCTAGAATATACCGATGACATATTTCTATTTGGTGAAGACGCTGACAAAATGCAGTCTTCTGACTATCCTAAGCAACAATGCAAGCATGTTTGGGATGCGGTTTTCACCCTCGAAATGCAAAATGTTGCTCCAAGGTTGGGTTGCATCGGCACCTGAACTAGTGATAGGGAGTGAAGTGGTTGAGTGTGTTGACCGCTTCGTTTATCTCGGGCGTCTCATCAGTCCTTGGGTGTAATAAAATCTCGGCACGGATAGAGAAGGCTCGATTGGCTTCTGCCAATTTGCATCATTTATGGCGTAGGTGAGATATCTGTCTGCCAACCAAAAGACGAGTCTTTTGAGCAGCAGTTTACTCCGTCCTACTTTATGGATGTACAACATGGCCGTCAAGAGTAGAAGATATTGGTAGGTTAATAGTATTCGATCACTGGTGTCTTAGAACCGTTGCTCGTATATCCTGGGACAACCGAGTAAGCAGTGAAGTTGTTAGGAAACGAGTACTAGGAAGGGAGGGCAAATCAATAGATGAAGTATTGAAACTTCGTCAGTTGAGGTGGTTGGGACATGTATTATGTATACATAACCACGTGTACCCCATCACCTCTATCTTTCTAAATTTATTTCACTGAATTATACTTCTTGAATAATTTCTTCGTGCCTACACAACCGACTGCCTCGACGAGCTTTGTTTTGTGGTGTAGGAGTCGGTTGGAAGAATGGTAGGGGCGGTAAGAACAAAGCATGGCACAAATCCACGAAGTCACTGGCAGCTGGATTGAGCCATGTTTGTATGTGTGAACTACCTGGTTGGGGTCCGCGAGACGGTAGTAACCGATGGTCAGAGACCTTGAACTACATGGCCCAAAATCTTTCGCAAAGGCGCAGGTGCATCTACTGTGTTCTCAAATTCTAATCTGAATTCCTTGTCGCTCCTATTTTCCTGTTTTTAAATTTGTTTCACTGAATCATACTTCTTGAATAATGTCTTTGAACCCTATCGTTCTACGATCTCTACCACTACGGGATCCAAACTGACAATTGCGTCTCTGTGCTCATGTGGTATGGCAACTCGAAAGTATGCACGTGCGTACGAAGTTCTACGTTGTAACTGACTAGAAACAATTGGTTCTTCTTATTCCACAATGAAGAAAACAAATAGCTGGTGAGTGCTTGTATTTATAAAAGAAATTTACAGGGAATAAAAGTTATATGATATTAAGTTTACATTCAAGATGTAGTTGTAGAGTTCATTAAGCTAGGAAACCAAAATACTCTTTCGCCACAAGGATCTAAATCATCCACCCATGCAATACCTTCTTGTATTAAATGACGAAAGGCAGCATCTGTACGATCTTTAGTCCAATCGAATCTGAGTGATGATAAAAAAAATTAGAAAGAGATCACATTACACATTTATCAAAGTGATAATTTGCTCAACGTTCTATACTTACCTGGACTTACTGAGTAATTTTTACAATAATTAATCAATGAATGATGATCTTGCTATATCACGACAGTTAAATATATGCACAAATGAATTTGTATTTATTCATTTGAAGGTACTTTGTGTCCACCCCGAGATCATAAAATGGGCTTTTATCCCGTACTCAGCACTTTCTGATTTTAATGATTTTCCAGTTGATTTTAGCTCTTGATTAAATTAGACTTAAAATTGGACAAATCTCTTTAAGCTACTGAAATAAAGTTAACTTTATGAGCTAAAGTAAAGTAAATCTTCAGGCCAGATTATATCTACAGTTATAACCAACCGTGTAAGCTAATGCGCCTAGATCTGCTACTTATTTTTTTATGAGTAACCATCGGAAATATTACCTGCTTTATTTTAAGTTCTACCTAATTGAATAGGTTTCCTGGATTGAGTCAGTCATTTTTGTCTAAATAAAAAGTACGGACATTAATTACTGGAAATGGAGGCTGAAATGAAATGTTAATATTCACACACTAACTTATCTATTACAGCTGATGCTGTTATATGACTATCAGATTTTTCTGCGAGCCCCAAAACCAAAGTTTGATCCATATTCATTTCACCTGGAACTGACTGAACCAATAGTTGACCACCAGGTAGACTAATAAGACTGAATCCTGTCCCTAAACAACGCAGCTTTTTGACAGACCGTTTTACGTCATCAGCACTAACTTCAGATTCATATCGTGTCCTGTTTTTGTTTAATAGAGATATCAACTCTCGTAGAGATATAATGCCTCCAGTATACTTTTGGTTAGCCATGCATACCTGTAGATACAAATGCAATGAAAATCAAACTTAAGCACATAAAATTTATCATACATGTAAAGTGGAGTTGCACGAAGTAACACGCACTGCATACTACGCGAAAATCTGTGCCGAGATGAATGACTACAGATGTTGAGGCAATAGTACACCAAAATTATACATCTGGATTTTAAAATAACGAGTACTTCTCAAGTGTCCTGTGGTTATAGCATAGTACAGGATTGCACAGTACACCCTACAATATATGGGAGATTCTATGCAAACAAAAAGCTGACCATAGCTCCTACCTTAACGTGAAACGAGGTTTGGCTATGGTAATGACTAAACCAAGCTATGTTGGCAGAAATACTCATTTTCTTTTAGGTCCTTTCGCACCCGGTAGGTTGGTTGAAGAAAGACAAAACAATAAATTCGAGATCGGAGGGCACAGTAGTACTATCGACTGTATGAGTGTGACGACATCCAGGTGTTTCTAGATAATCGGCAGCTTCGACAGTGCTATTCTTTTATGATGGGAGGCTACAAGAGATCTACCACAAAAGTACCACACTTTACTTTGAACATGGATTTCTGCTGCTGGACATAAGAACTTAAGAGTACAGAACCAACTCATATATGTCCACTCAAGAAAAAGATGATGTGACAGGCAGCAAGCAGCTGTCTATTGGGCACTTTAGTCACGCTCTTAGGTTGGCAATATCATCTCCAATAAAGCTTTCCCTTCAAGTACATCAAGAATTATCTGTACACGATGTTGGTGACAGGGATCATTTTACTTATAAACAACTCCAGCTGACTGTTTTCCGAAGATTTTGGGTCGTTGGAGGCATATAGTAGGGAACTCATCCGGTCAGCTACAACGCAGAACTTGGTATGCACGTACATCAGTCCAGGTTGCCGTATCATATTAGCACGGAGAGAGATGGAATTGTCAATTCAAATCCTATAGTCGTAGATGAATTAGAAGTATTGTCGGTAATGAAAAGAATTAGGGATCGAGAATATGATTCGAGAAGCATAACTCAGTGAAGTAAATTAAAAAGAGGAAAAAGTCATGAATGTAAAATATAAGAATTCGAGGGAAGACTAAGAGTGACTGTGCCACTGAAAACGATTTTGAGCCAAGTCATTTGAAGTCTCTAACCATCAGTCACGATTGTTTGGCGGACCCCAATCAGGTGGTCTAAATGGCTACTACTAATATAGCTTAGTCCAATAGTCAGTGACTTTATGGATTTGTGCCGTCGACTTTTTCTAAACCTTCCTTCCTTGTGAGAAGGCAGCATCGCTGTAGATGCTGGTTGTCCGAGGGAAACACTCTGCTGCTGTCACACCCCTCTACAGTCAGCAGTACGACTTCGCCCTCAGACCTTGAGTAGCTGCTTTTAGTCTCATCGTTCTCCAATCGATGTGCCTGGCACGGTAGAACCTTCAGGAACATATGTTCCAGTCAATATAACTCAGATGGGTCATCACGATAGACAAGCCCGACCACCATGCCGAGGTAGCAGCTTCGGTTGGGTAAGACACCAAGGATCGAATACTATTAACCTACCAATATCTTCTACTCTTGACGGCCATGTTGTACATCCATAAAGTAGGACGGAGTAAACTGCTGCTCAAAAGACTCGTCTTTTGGTTGGCAGACAGATATCTCACCTACGCCATAAATGATGCAAATTGGCAGAAGCCAATCGAGCCTTCTCTATCCGTGCCGAGATTTTATTACACCCAAGGACTGATGAGACGCCCGAGATAAACGAAGCGGTCAACACACTCAACCACTTCACTCATTATGACGCAAGCCAATCCTGAAGCTCGGTTCTTCATTTTGATATTAGGTCAAATGAATGACACTAATCGGATGCCGTACGCGCGTCTCGGAGACATAGCATACACTGATAGCACGAGATTCTTAAGTGCTGCAAAAGGAAGCCTGTTGTCCTGTTTCACACAAGTTTCGAACATAGAAAGCTTCAACATGTAGTTTAGAACGGGGTTTCAGGAGGCCAGGAATAACGTTTCGTGTACCCGAATCGTTTGTGTCAGCGGCGCCAGGTGATAAAGGGATGTGAGAAGGTTTTGTCATGGAGGTAAGAGGGTTATTAGAAGTAAGAAGGATTTAATGGTGGCAGATGTCACTTCCCGTCTGCCCACACTGTGGAAGAGTACTTCTTGGGGAATCTGGGAAGAAAATTAGGTTACCATTAGTCTGAGCGACCTGCGAACGTCGTCGCAGAGTCCGAGCGACAAGTGCTTCAGACCAGTCACGCACAGCCTTTTTATGGGCAGTTTTTAAGTGTTAGCTTCGCTATTGTTTAGAAGGCCTAACCGCCGGAGATGGAAATCCGCGCAACAAGGTGAGGTGTGACATTTTTAGGGTTGACATACTCTAACCTCTTCCTTCCTTGTGAGAAGGCAGTATTGCTGCAGATGCTGGTTATCCGAGGGAAACATCTTACTGCTCTCACACCCCTCTACAGTCAGCAGTACGACTTCATTCTCAGATCTTAAGTAGCTGCTTTTGGTCTCATTGTTCTCCAATCGACGTACCTGGCATGGTAGAACCTACCGGAACATATGTTCCAGCCAATTTAGCTCAGATGGGTCATCACGATAGACAAGCCCGACCACCACGTCGGGTGGCAGCTCCGGTTGGGGAAACTCGGGATCTATATTTCGTATCGGTTAATGCACGCCAAGGTTGTTTTGTAAGTTACCAGGAACTGAAATATTTATTTTAATTCATCATTCGGTAATAAACTGTCAGATTTAGTCAATAATACTGATAGAATTCTATTGGGTAAGTTGCAAGCTGACAACTAAACTAAGTAATTCGACATTGCGTCACACTGTTTGGTATTAGGTGCTTAGAAGCAATTGCTAGGAAGCTGTAAGTCAGTCAGCCGCAACGTAGAACTTGTTACGTCCGTACGTCAATCCAAGTTGCCATACCACATTGGCACAAAAAGATGGAATTGTCAGTTCAATACCATAGTAGTAGACATTGTATCAGTATTAGCGGTAATGGAAAGAATTAGGGATCGAGAATATGATTCAATAAGCATAACCAAGTGAAGTAAATTTAAAAGAGGTCATGAGGAATTGGAAATATTAGAACTCCAGGAAAAACAAAGAATGAACGTATCTGTGCAACTTTGAACGATTTCCAGCCATCTTATTCAAAGCCTCTAATCGTTGGTTACGATATTCTTGCGGGTCCCAACTAGGTATGGTATCATATATAACCAAGTACCTCAGCCTTAGCGGCACATGCGGGCATCTTTTATCTCCCCTCTGACATTAAGTTCTAATGTAATTCCATACTTTTCATTCCTCTATTTTATATCAGAACAGTATTGCCAATTCGTGTCCACCACCAGGAGTATTAATATTTTGAACTATTTGCTTTCTGTAGTACCGATTCTCTTTGTGTTAGTATGAAGCTTAGGATTTTAATTCGTTTCAAATTTGTGCAAGGCTCTATGTCATCAATAACAGAAGACAGAGTATTTAAGACTCCTAAGTTAAAAAAAGATAATAATATAGGCAGTTTCCTTATCTCTGAAGTGGAAAATATTAGTTAGTAACTATATAACGCGTCCCTCATATCTATGGACGTAAAGATCTACTAAAGATGTGCGTAGGACGAGGGGTAAAAAAAATTCGAATCCGGAGAACGAACAGAATAATGGATTGTTTGACGCTTGAAACTCAGGCGAAACCGACGGCTTTTGAATATGGTGACGTGAGCACACAAACTAGGGAACGAAGAAAATATTTTGCACTAAATCCAACTTATCGAAGCAAACTCATCAGTTCCTGGTGGTCTTTTTTCCCAAATTTGAAACGAGAAATGTTGTTCATAGTAATAATAGAGATAAGATTTTATTAAGAAAATGTATAATTAGGCTAATGTCCAATCGTAAATCAAGCAAAATTGGGTATTAGATAGGAGAGAACATTTTTATAACTATTATTCGTAAGATCGGTGAAAAGTTGAAAACTTTAATGAGTTATTAACTCACTTCGATTATTTTCACACCTAAGTGGTAGTAAAATTCGCCCAAACCTAATGTTTCTGACCAACACCCACGACTGTAGGCTAAGGGATCGACACCAATACTACTACACATTGCTTGAAATTGTGAACGTAACTGTGGATCCTCTTTGATCTTGTTTCTGTGTTTGCTAGCGAATAATTCAAGCGACTGACGAACTTGTTCAAACTGTCGTGATAGCGTTGTAATTTGATTTCCTGCTAACTCATCACTTTTTTCTTTATATTTTGATTGAGCAAGAGATTTACTTTTAATCGATGCAATTCCAGCCTTTCTATACATCATAGAATCTGTACACAGAAATAACAATACGTGATTTTTACTCATCAGATAACTAACTTTATACCATTGTTACTGTCATAAGTCATAATGGATAGTGAAAACATGTGGGAAGAAAGTGGACGTTTTAGTGCTGTAATAAAGAACGACAGCACAATAATTAAATACTATGGAAATTTTTTTAGCAAATAATGCACTAAGCAGCTTTTGGAACAGATCAACAACATAACAGAAAAACACGCAGCCAGACGTGAGAGCTACTTCTACTAACGATCAGTTGAGCCGACATTTATTACCACAGTACCGCTTATTTCCAATTTTATCTCGAATTAAGTACTCTACCGTGCATTTGTTTATTTCATGAACTTAACGGTTTACTACCTTCAAATAAACTAAGTAACGGACGGTAGGTTTCCTTACCAAAGCCTCTAGTAGAGTCAAGTTACCACTTTATTTATTTCTTGACTTATTTACTCGAAGTAATAAGAATCTACAGTGCATCTACTTGCGAAAGAGGTAGGCATGTATATATTATACATTTTACCGATTTTGAAACGAAAATCCAGATGTTATTACTCTTTGAAGAAATGTGTATCGTATGAAAGTAACTATCTTTACATCAAGTATCCTTAATTCTAAAGAATATGACACCCTTGGCAGTCTTTAGAAATTCAAGAGGTGAATCACATTACACAAACTCCAAATAATTTTCATAAGGTTGAAGAGATCATCGTCTAGGTTTATCAGACGTAGAAATAGTATGAAATAAAAGCTTCCATTGAATTGGTGATTAAATTGATCACAAGCCCATGTCTAAGGGAAGTTTTCATCACAAAAAACAAGGGTCTCATTTGAGATTTGCCTACGGAAATGAATGAATGTTACTGGAAGGTAACCAAGACCAGACACACCTGGTACTGCAAATTTAACCACCAGGTTTAATAAAAGTACGGACGGTCGAAATAACGGAAGGTTAGTACAGCCATCTAATTTTGTGACATAAACCCAGTAACTTTCTGTGGCTAACGATAAACTAAGTTTGGGTGTTAAAATGTATTCTCAAGAAGGAAACTCCCAAACCACATGTGGAAAGTATTTGTTAAGTTTGGTTAGCATCCTCTTAATTTGGTGGCCTTATACAGTTGTGTTTATTTAATATGGGTTTCTTAGGAACTACTACAGATGGGGAGCTCAAAAATCTTCATATACCTTATACAGACAAGGGACTTTCTCGTTATTTGGCGAGAGTGGACGAATTTACATCAGGATCCCCTCCAACCAGCAAACTACTCCTAAGTGGGGTAGCGTCAGAGTCAGAAGCGCGGTCATGGTTATTAATGACAATATCCAATATCACCAAAATCTTATTCACGAGCTAGTATAAACCATTTGGTTTCTTCGCCTCGATTTTTGTTCTTTCAGTACAGTTCCAGGAGTTTGGTAATGTCCAATGAATGGGTTTCTAGCCAACGGACTGTCGAATTCTAGCCAGTTGGCAGTTGTTTGTGAGTTTGTATGTCCCGTGATTTGAATGAAAACGTTTGTTACAGGCCAGTAGGGTTTTTGGATACCAGTAGCTACCACGCTACCAGACCGGAGATCAGTTAGTTGCAATATGGAGAATAATAAGGAGAAAATTCTAAGAGGATTTCAGAACTAAGTAATATATAGATAATTTCTTTTACCAATTGGTAGTGAAGATTGTGAGAGAGAACGGAAGTGTAATCAAGGGAGAGGAAACAGAGATAACAGGCGAAATAGATTAAGTTAGTAGTCTGAGAAGATGGCAATATTAACGACTGGCGAGTCTCAAGGCATGCATCAGGCACAGCTTGTCCACGAGGGAGATGATAATTCGTATGTGAGTAGGTGTTCATCAAGTCTCTTCTTAAAGCTCTCCACTGAGAAAGCTGTGGTCACCTCGGCTAGGAGAGGACTCCGATTTGCAACGACTCTCAATGAGAAATAGTGTGCAAGAACCTGAGTGTTCCCCCTTTGACGTGCAATTTTTCGAGGATTGCCTTGATTGGAATGGTGGTGATGCATCGGTAAGATGCTGACGTTGGGATTGTTTGCTGTGCCTAATATGTTGTACTCCATAATCAGATAACCTCTGATTCTTCCGTAACTCGAGGGGAATAATCCCAAGTGTTGTAGTCTATCTTGGTGAGGTTTCTTCTTGAACCCTATCACAAGTTTCTTTGCTCTTCTCTGCCCTAAACCCAAGAGATTTATGTCCCTTTTCAGTAGAAGGAGTGCGAAGAGGAGAGGACAGGACTTCCGAAACCGTTTTTTGATTGGCCAGATAGTGCTGTCTTCAGTAATATTCTTTGCAACTTATTTCGTAGTGAACGTCCATTTTCTGCTTGAAATCGTCAGCTGGTTATATTAGTATCACTTCTTCCTGGTTCCAGGCATAATTCAATCGAAGAAAACGGAATCTTACTGTGATTATATATGACTATGGTTTTCGAGTCTAAATGTTGTTACTATGGAGATGATTTCTTCTGAGAGGAACAAAAAGCTCTGATATCTTAACACTCAAATAGTTATTCAGGATGTGGGATGCTAACGGAAGGGTAACTCTTGTTCTGTTTGAACGCACTACAATAAAAAGAAAACAGAACTAGTGAACAACATCATACATAGTGATTTTAACTCTGTTACACTATGTTGGCTCTCAAGTAGGAGATCCGCCATCCACACAATTGTTATCTGCCTTCACCAAACTTGGATATTCATCGGTTGTGAGGGGTTTTATCAAAAGCTTTTTCAAAATCAATGGAGGTACCGCCTCTATAGGTAGATTTTGGTCATCAAGAACATACCAACTTTCATGGTCTACTAGTGAGGTTGCGATACATTAGTAGTCTGTTCTCAAACCCTGCTGCTTCTCAGAAAGCATCCAGTTTTATCTAGGGACTTAACAGCTCCTTGCGAGTAATCTTTCCGAAATTTCCACAGCCATGCTAGTTGGGTTTTTAAGGATCGATCGTTCTCAAGTTTATGCCTGGTACCTGTTCTGAGGACAAGACGTACCATCATTTACAGATAGATTTAAACCTATGCTTGGGCGTCTTGCAATTAAGTTTACCAGTTGGTTCAGTAACTTGGGATGCATTTCTTAGCGTCCTGTGTATCTACCTGAATTAAGCTTGTCTGACGGACCAAGGACATCGAGTTCCTTAGCGGTCATAGTATCTGGAGTGTGTGCGGAGGGGTTTGGATGAACCGAGTGGGAAGACACCTGTGGTTTAATAATACTTCGCTAAATTAGTTTGAGAATACCTAATCGTTACCATGACCACCTTCCACCAATAATGAATTACTACTGTCGCCTCTTCTCTTGGTCCCTTTGCTAGACTGCAAACTGGCACGCGCCTCGTAACATGGTGTTATTTGAGAATAGATACATTATTACCATTATTATTACGTACAAATAAAAGCGTTTGAGCGGTCTTTAGAATCCTTACAATCTTTTTACATTTTATCTTCCAGACTTATGGAGTGTCGCAGCACAAATATTCCGGCATTTTCGGAATCGTGATTTTGTTTCCTCAGTGCCAGACGTTATAAATTTCTCCCACATCATTTTCCTCCAATAGAGAAGAGTGTGATCCTCCCTAGTTAACCACGGTGGAGAATGTTTCGACTCTTTAGTGTAGTCCAAGGAATGTGAGGTGCAGCAACTTTTCCTCATAGATTTCTGAATGCCTCCCTACCCTCCGCAATGTGGGAGGTTCCAGTTCTATCGTCCAACCTACTAAGGAGGCCGAATGCATGGTGTATTGAGTATTTGCTTTTCGAGATGGTGGAGAAAATTTGTAGCTCAGGTGGATGATTGTGGTGGTGTTTCGTTCTCTGGGCTGGATGTTTCGTTCATGAAACTTTCATTGTTCTTTTGAACAACATCATCAACACGAATTTCAGATGGAAGTGAAGTATGCTAATTTCTCCACGTTTGACCTGTAGCTTGTTATATTAACCTCTTCATTGGTTGCTGTTGACTTTAAACCTGTCGTTGTTTGCACCTTTGTTTTGATTGTATTCCCCTTTTTATCTGTTTCTTGATCCTGTGTCACCTATGATTTTTCTAATTCGGTGATAAATTGGGTCAATGTAGATGTGTTTGATGATCCCTGATTGACTTGAGTTCCAAGCTTCTAAAACTTCTCTAGCGTTCTTTGTCCTCCCCCTATCCAGTATTTCCAGATTGTCCCAATCGAATGTATGTCCATAATTGTCGGTGTGTATTGATACAAGCGAAGAATTGTCGTGGCGTTTGACTGCTAATTGGTGTCCACGTAGACGAAGCTGAACAGCCCGTCCACTTTGTCCTATGTAGTGTTTTTCACAGTCTGAGTAATTTACTTTGTGGATGATATTTGGTTTTTCTCCCTTTGTCATTTTGTCCTTTGGTCTATATAGGATTGATTGAAGTGATTCTGTTAGTATGTGTGCCACACCTATTCCAAATGGTTTCAGCAGCCATGCTGTATGCTCCGATATGTCTTTTATGTATGGTAGGGTGATCCGTTTACTGGTTCGCTTCCGTTGACGACATCGGTTGATGTTTTTTGAAGAAGTCGCGTGGATAGCCGTTCTTTTGGAATATGGTCAAAAGATGTTTTTCCACGTTTTTTAGTGCTTCATACGTGCTGCAGTTTGTCTTCGCTCTCTTGAACAAAGTTTATATGCAGTTGATTTTGTGGGTTCTTGGGTTGTTGCTACCGTTGTTAAGAATTACGTCCGTGTGGGTTGGCTTCCGAAATACTTGAGTTTACAGATTGCCTGTGTTAGTTCTGGTGATTAGTACATCCAGGAATGATAGACTGTTGTTTGATTCCTTTTCCATCGTCAATTTGATGTCATCGAGGACGTTGTTGATCCAATTGTAGGTGTTCTCCAGCTCGTTCCTTTTGATAATGACGAATGTGTCGTCCACGTAGCGAACCCACATTTTTGGTTTGATTACTGGTAAAACTGACGCTTCCAGTCTCCGCATTACCGCTTCTGCGATGAGTTCTGATATTAGTGACCCCATTTTGAGTTCCTTTTGTTTGTTCATGGACTCTATTGTTGAATTTAAAATACGTTGTTAAACATAATCGATGATTCCTAGAAGACTTTGGCTCTGGAGTTTCGTATAATTTTGAAGGTTTGCGTCGTTGGCGAGGAGCGGGGAAAGAGTTTCTTTGGCTAAGCTTGGCTTGACGATCCCTAATTGACTTGAGTTCCAAGCTTCTAAAACTTCTCTAGTGTTCTTTGTCCTCCCCTATCCAGTATTTCCAGATTGTCCCAATCGAACGACCTGAAGGCCGTTTAAGCAACTTCCTGCTGTAAAAAGTGACTTCGGCATCATTCTCTCTCAAATCCTCACCACCTGAAAATTTATATTCATACGGTCCTTCTTGTCATTATCTAGCCTTATTTTTAGTTCTCACTCGGCTTCTCGCTTTCCTATACGGTTTGAAAGTTGTCAGTCTTCATTGAGTAAACATCCTGACTCCTTCATTTTATGTTGTTTCTGTGATATCAAGTCCCTTTCACTGGAAGACTTAAATACTAATTTCGACAATTTGGCTTGATTTTCCTTCAGTCTTGCCAGAAGTACTAGTTTACAAACGTTTATCAAAGTAATCCCAGGGACGTGTCGAAGTATCAGGGTACTTAATAGACATTTAATCAACCTAATGTTCTGCTGAATGAAGATTGGTGACTGGGGATTCGCTCTCATTTACTCTGTGAAAGACGACTTATCTGTCACTGTGATTAGTTCTCGCTTTCAGGACTACTGTCGTGCCAACTGGCATTTCTTCCAAGACTAATAACCAGTGAAGTTATCCAAGGAAGTGTATTCCTCCACTTTGGTTTCTGATAAACATAAACGATACATGTTAAACTATAAGATTTGGAAGATCGTACTTATATCCGAGTGATCTCAAAATAGTATGCAGCTAAAAGCCTGGAGAACTGGACGAAGATATAGCCAGGATTCATAGTGACCTTCATAAATGCAGCGAAACTTGGCAGCTACATCTTAGCCAAAAAAAATACTGTGTCATGCATTTTAGTAAGCGTCACCATGAAATGCCAATCCACTTACAAAAATTTAGGGTTCAGACATTCATTTCAGCACATGATCTGGGTATTCATTACTCCAGAAGCCTAAAATTTGAGGAACATTCCACTGCCATCATCTCTCAATCTAGACGGCTAATGTGGTTTATAAATGAGAACTTCTTGACAAACAATGGACAATTAAACGTATGAATAGATGAATTTCAGAAGAATTGAATTGTTAGCAAAAATGTTGGTT